TGGCCATGATAAACTTGTATCCATTATCCACTTGTGTTCAAACGGTAAAGAAATGAAGCAAAGATGACCAGGCCGGGAACCCTGCAATTGCAACCCGCTCCACCTTTCATCCTTAGCTAATCCTAGCTAGAAGAGCTGTCTGATTGCGCCTCTGCCTTTCCTTCCTCGCCGAGGCCCTTTGTCCTCGTCTAGGTAGAAATAACGAAACCAAGGGCGAAACCGACAAAGTGTCCTAATTCTCAAGCACTTCTGTCCACTATCGCTGATCCGACAATTCTATCACCTCTAATTCCTCATTCCCTGCTCGGGAACTCTTTCAAAGACAAGATACAAACTACCTCTAATCCACAAAATTTCTCCTCGGCTACAGAAAACGAAACAGCCGTGATTCAATTCAGGAGCCACGAAACCCATGACATGCCTCCCCATGCGATAATACTCCAGCAACGAAGGAACAAAATTGACAGGAAGCCCATCTAGCACCCCAAACCTCGTCCACCTGAAAAGACGATATCAAGGACGATTTCGTTCGAACATTCACTTGAGATCCGCCATCTTTGTAACCTCATGAGCTCCACGAACCATCTTCAATCAAAATCGGTATTCAATCGGAACCCAATCAACCACCACTTTTGTATCCGTCACCGCGATATGGAGACCGATGTCTTCATCAATTTTCTCTATCTAAAAATCTCAATTAAAACCCGTCTTCAGTCACCTCCAGAAAACCCTAGACAGAGTGTTTTATAAATTGATGCTTTTAGACGTAGATTTTTTCTTGAAACTCTTCTCCCTTGGAAAAGATAAAACGCAACCCAATCCACTACACTGAATCAACTGAAAAACGCAAAATCGGTAAACAATTTCAAACTGAGATGTGAACCAAACCAAATTCTTTGATGAGTTCTTCGAGTGAGAATACGCGGTTATCCCAACTGGAAAACCCGTCGGTTTCAATTACCCCATTGGCACTAAAAACCCTCACAAACATAAGTTGAGCTCAACCCACTCCGAAGAGACTCTAGGTCGACGCTTACAGGCATACGCACAGCTCCCAACGCTAACAGGCTCGACTCGGAGAACTGACGTTCTTCGAGTCGTCTTCAACCCTATAACCTTCACGACCTGAAACCCTAGCTTAAAGCTATTCTTAGTAAATACTGAAACTACATGACAACTCAAAAACATATTATTGCTATTGAATAACATTTTAACTCAAATATAGCTAGATTGTTCATTCTAACTTTCAGAAAATAAAGTTATCACTTAGATATATGATAAATAATAAGACTTTTCAAGTCTATATTCAAGTTATTTCATTTATTGTGCAAGATGTGAAAGTAGATTAATTAAAGATTTATTTCAAAAAGATGAATGTACAAAATTGTCATTTAATAAAAAATATCTGTTAAGTTTGATAAATTTTAATCAATTTTGAGTAAAAACTATAAAAAATGTTGATCCAAAATTGTAATTTAAATATGAGTATCATTGCAAATATGATTTTATAATTTGATAATCAATTTTGATCATCAAATTATAAAAACATGAATAAATTCTAGAAAAATTTTTGCATGAATGCTCTTTAAATTTTCAGTTTAATAAATTTGATTTATGAAAATTTATAATTATGTAAATGTTGATGTAAAAAAAATCAATATCATAATATAGAAGTTAATTTTTTTGTTTTACATAGACAACGTATTATATGTTAGTTATGCTTACTACATATAAACAATTTTGTATACTTAAAATATCATAATCAAAGAAAACATTTACTTTGCGATGATATACAAGTTATACGTTTAGAATAATTATAATTTTATAAATTAAAATTAAAAAATTACTGAGAATAATTTTTAAAAAATAAATAAAAATTTATTTATAATTTAGTATCAAAGATGGATTGATATTTTGTTTATTTATTTAATACCATAAAAATATTTTTTTTAGAATAATTTCAATAATAAATTAATCACAAGATTAACTTGTTCTTACTTTATATTTTAATTTGTATCAAAAAATAAATTAATTGTTATGTAATGTTATTATATTTCAAAATATTATTTAAGCGGCATATTTTTTATTTATTTATTTATATTTCAAAATATAATACATATTTTTCAAATATATATACATATTTTTTGTTATTTTTCACAATTAAAAAAATTCATGTATACATTTTTTGTGTGTTTAAAAACAAACATTTGTACATATAAAAGCATACATGTTTTCACATCGTTTAAATTTAAAATATGATTTAATGGTATATTCTTTCCAGCAAATGATAAGTTTTAATGCATGGTGATGTTAATAACAGAAAACAAGTGACGCTGAATTTTAAATTAAGCATAGATTTATGAAGATTAAGTTAAAAATTTATATCTCTGATCAATTTAGTATTTTGATGCTACATTTTGTATCATAATCATTATTAACATGCAAACTCAAGGTTTCGACTATGTGAATAATGTTTTCTAAATGTTTAAAAAAATTATAATACCACTCTCTATCATTTGTTTTGACCGTATGACTTTATTTAGATAATTCAAACTATAATGTAAAATCTTTTGCATTTCAATAAAATCAATTTTTATTATTTTGTATCAATTTATGCTCATATGAATTATTTCTACTATATATTATTTTTGTAAGACAAGAAATTACAAACATTGTACAACGTTTTATTGTTACCTAATTTTTTTAATCAAATTAAATATAATAAATTCTACCGCAAAATAATAATAGAAGATAAAAAAATATAAAATTACAACTCATTTAACAAAATCAAGATATTTAGCATTTCCAAAATAGAAATAAAAACATATCCTCAATATCATTTTGATATCTTTTAGACAATCGTGCTCATTTTCATGTTTCAAATCTTAATTGCTGTTTTATGTCCATTAAATATAATGACTTGGTTTAAATTTATTGTTTCATATTACATAAACTTAAGAGAGGATGAATAATTCCTAAGACATACATATTAGACTATGATATGCAAAAGTAACTCTTGATGTTTATTGAGTGTCAAGTCATCTTGTTTGACTATTGATGCAAGGAATGTTCATATGACTTGTTAATGTAAAGAATGTAAATCATAACAAGATTGTAATGATGCTAAAAGGTTGATTATTCTCTCAAAATTTTGCTGTATAGTATTAAACTTGTTTAGTTTCTTATATAGCCTATGTCAAGTTTCGTCTATAAGAAACAATTTCATATGTTAACAATAAGTTATGTTCTTATTTTTTGCTTGCATCATATTTTAACCTCTTAAAGCACTTAGTTATATTACATAAGGTATCAAAAGACATCCTTTGTAAAGAACATAGTTTATGCTATTTATATTTTTTATGGATGAATATCTTTAACAAGATATTCATCCATAAATATTAACTTGATTTCATTAGTTATTGTTTGATTCAAAAAGATGAATTTTTTACCAAGTTTTCAAATTTTTTTCTTCATAAAGCTTTGAAAACGTTTCTTTTCGGTTGACAGTTTAACTTTGCAGCTTCTAGTGAAATTTTTCAAGACATTAAAAAACTCATAGATATTGTTGAATGAGAATCACTAGAATCTCTTGAATAATCACATTACTTGGTTAAACATGTGAATAAGTACAAAGTTAAATCTCCCAATAGTGGCATATATTGGTGTTAGAGTTTTACGTCACTATTGGGAGGTGCCACTTACAATAGTAAACTTCATAACTTTGAGTATGACCTCATAATCGAAACATACATTGGTGTTAGAGTTGGATGTCATTATTGGGAGGTGCGTAAGCTTAATATAATCTCCCATAATAAACATATATTGGTGTTAGGGTTAGATGTCACTATTGGAAGGTGTCACTTGTTAAAAGAAAGTGTATAGATTTCTTATTGTACAATAAAAAATCGACTTCATTTGCACATTTGTGTTGTTCATGACTATCAACTTGGGTGTTATAATTGTGTTTGAATTCATATCAATACACAAAAATTTGAGTGAAACAATTGATAATAATATACGCAGCGAAGTATTTTACTGAAGGCCAGAAAGAGTGAATAGTTGAGATAGACCTTTATATTAACATATGCCACATTTTTTTTTCCTCATAACTATGTATTGTGATCATGATAGGAAAATTAATTCCGAAATTACACTTGAAATTGTCATTATTGGCAATAGTTACGTATTGTTTTTATTGAACAGATTTACAAATTAGAAATTGATGATTCTGGAATTTTATGTCACTAATGAGAATATATCACTCACAAGAAATGACACTCTTGGGAGTTTTAACTATATATATATATATATATATATATATATACACGTGTGATTTAATCATTTTTGATAATGATTTGAAAATATATGATTTCTAAAGGAGGCCATTATACCAAGGTTCTACTGTTTGCAAATTCAAAAAATCAACTTAACGCGTTGTTTTAAAAAAACTGAAAATCCTATGAAGTGATAAGATTGTTCATAACAGGTTAAGCATTCAAATTGGAATAATAAACTTAACAACATTGATGACTATATGATATATGTTTGTTCATTCAGACGGAGAAATAATGAATAAAGAATTGTTCACAGTTGGTGGTCAGCACACATAGATCTCACAATGAGAGATATGTTGGAGGGAATTTTCAAGCTGGACAAGTGGAAAACTGCGTGTAATATAGTTTAGTGACCTCAAAGATAGGAGTTGCTAGAATTCGATTCCCCTGTTCAAATTCCATCCATCACGAAACTTACAATCGATTTGAAAAGTAACTTCCTTCATTCCCAAGTAGTCAAGAAAATTGCAAGATGTAGACCGGATTAGCACACAAGGAATTTCATCTAGACATTCCAGCTACGGGGTCCTTTACAGCAGGGTGACCAAACCTAAACACGAGTTCCACTTGAGCTTTCACTCGAGTTTCTCACTCACAGCGGAATAGGACAGAAAGGGACCTTCAGCAAGCGAGCAACGCGAGTAGAGGGAAAAAAGATAAAGTAGGACTGACAGACTTGCTTTCAAGTCCCGGAATCGCAGGCAAGGCAGGCGAAAGCTGGACAGCAATACAGGAGGGGATTTGCTGTCCGTGTCCACAAAGTTCCAGCACGCTTCCTCTTAATTCAAAGAACTCAAACGCATAGTCATAGAGAGGATGAATTAACGCTCGTCCTTTCTCCATCTCAATCCCTCTTTTGTCTCTCTCGCTCTGCAGTCGCTGTCAGTGCTCTGCCTGCTGCACCTCTGGCATAAATCACACGAGCTCCTCTGATCCGCTGGGCCCCTGTTCATGGTTTCGGATTGTAACTTGGGCTATCGATCTGAAGATGTCGACGTGAGTGTGTTTCTTTTCGGGGTCTATGGATTGCAATGAAAGTTCGAAGTGGAGCAATTGGGGATTTGTGGCAGCGGATGTAGAATGGCATTGATGGATTGACTGATTCGATTGCTGATTCCATTCGGATCTTGATGAAGCTCAGAATAGGGATTGAATTGCGGTCGCGGTTTAGGGACAGGGATTGGAGTTTGTGACGCTCGGGGTCTGGGTGGTGATTAGATTATTGAGGACAAGTAGAGGTGGAAGAAGACGTTAGCGGGAGGAAGAGCAGGAGGGCATCATGGGGGTTTCTCAGCAGAGTCCGGACGACAGGGAGTTGATGAAACTCGTGGAAGGATATTTTTTGTCGTCGGATAATGCTGTTCTTCTTGCCTTTCGTGTAGCTAAAAGTCAGGCATCTTCATGGCCCGTGGCCGGGCGTCGACAGAGGCTAACTACGAAACCTCGTATTTTAACGCTCACTGGTTTGGCTCTCAAGTCCTGTAACTCGAATTCTTGTTCCGTCCAAGTTTTATAAAAGGCTGTTATGTCATATGTTAATATTTTAAATTCACGCACATGATTCTACACATTGCAAACGTGTGGTTTAAATTTTTTATCCAGGCTACTTATTGAAACAGTAAATGACATTTCTCTTTCAGCCAAGCGATCCACCACGACGCAAAAATTCAAGGTTAAGTTGCAGGTCTTGAAGCAATCAGCAAATAATGAACTTCAGGTACATTCAGCCCTTTGAGCCGTATCCACTATTCCCTGCTTTTCCACGCAAATATTTCATGATTGACAAGAGAGAAACCAAGAGAGCTGAACATTTGAAAAGGAGCCCCTTGGCAGCTAGAACTTAAGAAAGAGGCTCAGGCAGTTCAGGTCAAATTTAGCATAACATAGGCTAATGTTTGGAATGGTAATGTTTTTGTCACTACTAAAGGGATCACTCAGATGCAGCAAAACCCGAAGTCAGAGTTTCAACGGCCATTTTGTTAAAATTCACTCACAAGTTAATTCGACAAAAATTGCACACCCAAGATATTAATCTTTTCTTTCTTTCCTTTTCTGAACTCCGCTTATCACTTTCCGGAGTACTTGACGGACAGCGCAGTGTACTCATCAGTCAACCCTGAACTGCAGGTGGCGAAGGTTTACAAGTTGAAGCATCTGAGCAAAGTAGAGGCAGTACCCAGCGACACCACTGGCTGCACCTTTCTCCTGGTTGACTACTTTTCCAAGCTGCATCTTTCTGTTTTCTCAATTGGATGTGTACTTGGAGTTCCTGAGCTACGAAAGTTAACTAGTATTAAGCAGAGATTACGTTCCTGTTCAGGGCTTCGACAATTTGAAATCACAAGCAGTTGCTCCTCCTCAATGGACCATGCGGAGTCTGGACGACAGGTGGGGATAGTAATTCTTCAAATCGCTATTATAAGTCTTGAATGCGTTATGAAGAAACGACTATAGAGAGGTATTAGTGAAGTGCTTTATTTACTTGTTCACGATGCAGGAATCGTCTCGTGACTTGCATCTTGAAGCTGTGCAAAGAAAACCTTGGACGCCTTCCGAAAATTGTGAATCTGGACGTTGTCGAGATGGCTTTGTGGGCCCAGGTAATGCGTCTCTTGTTGCTAGATTGCACTCTTGCTTGATCGTATCGGTCGAGGGGCTGCCTAAGATTCGGGTATTGAGATTGGAGCTTGCGATAAAATTCATCTGCCCCATGCAGTGCTAGCATCACCAGCCACTGAGTTTGATCTGTTCTGATGAAAGTAATCTGTATGCAACTGGATTCAAAACGAAAGTGCAAGCGTTGTGTCGCAACTGTGTTGGCTGATGAAACTTTTTGCTGATGAAACAGGCAAATGCTAAAGCCCTTCCTATCGATGGCCCGGTGCAACCAGCCCTTCAAGGTACAGCTGAAGATGAAAAAAGTAGTGGGGTCAACGTGGAGAGAGAAATGGTATCGAAGGCCGAAGAAGATGATATGGAGGCTCTTCTGGGCACGTAAGGGCCTTGCCAATATATATTTTGCTTCAATGTTTTCCTAGTTTGTATGCTAGCAAAAGGAAAGAAGGACGCTATTACCGTATAAGTCACATTGAGGATCTACAGTCTTTTTGATATTCGTATATTGGGAGAGGGTATTTGCTCTTTCAGGAGTAGGACTAGTAAAGTATCGAGTCATGGAAGCCAGTCTTATCATTAGTTTCACAGATAAATAATAATGGCCTGGAACCTTGTCTCGAGGTGACCAACAGCAGATATACTGCAATCTTTTCGTGTATACAATAGCATGAACCTAATCGGCAAGTTCGAGTAAAATCAGGGGTTTTCGAGATACACCAATAGCTTTACCTTTTTGAACCCAATTGAAACACATTTTCGGGGATGATGATTCTCATAATCATGTAAGATAGATCGTAACAAAGCTTGTCTACTCAGTTTTCCAGACACTGAGACGAGCGTGTTTTGAATATTTCGTTTTTAATCATGAACACGTCAGTTTAAATTGTGGCTTTTTACCAGGTATGTTCTGGGTATCGATGAAGCAGAAGCATTTTCCGAACGGTTGAAACGTGAATTGACTGCTCTTGAAGCAGCAAACGTGCATGCTATCTTGGAAAGTGAGCCTCTGGTAGAGGAGGTAAATTGCAGTCAAACTTGGCAGTTTCTTTTAGTTCTACGCTTTGTGGAGATGTTTAACTTGATACAGGTTCTCACATATGCGAGATAAAAATAGTATGAATCATGACGATGAAGTTCAATCAAAGTTGGGCTGTGTAAAGAATAATTATGTTAATGGACCTTTCTTGTTCTATGGATCGCAGGTCTTACAACAGCTTGATGCCGCCACAACGAGTGTTGAGGATATGGATGAGTGGCTTGGTATATTTAACGTGAAGCTCACACATATGAGGGAGGACATAGAATCGGTACTGTTCACACTTCTGCAATATCCCATGCTTGGGGGGCTCAATCTGATCCCTGCAGTCTTGAAAAATTTGATAATGGGGTTTATTCGTCCTTAGAGGACTTCAATTTACAGGACGGATTTCTGCGCTATTTGGCTGCATTAACTGCCTTCAATTTTAGTTAGGTGTACCAGCGTTCAGCCTTCTTAGTAAATAATTTACGTGTTGTGGGTTTTTCGACGACAAGAAGCGTTGAAGGTTGTAACGAAGTTGTTGTGAGTTGGTTTGGACAGATAGAATCTAGAAACAACAGGTTGGAAATGCAAGCTCAAAATAACAGTGCTCTAGTGGAAGAATTAAACAAACTTCTGGAACGGCTCCGTGTTCCCTCTGAGGTAAATCGCAGGCTTCAGTAGCAGCTTTATTTGAAGTTGTTTTACTCATACGATATAAATTTTTAAGTGTGTCCACAAGATTCCGCCAATTGGGCCACACTTGTGCATTTAGTTCGTTTATGCATTTTACTTATACACAGATTGTGGTTGGTTGCTCAGTACGCAAATCTCCTTACAACGGGAGCCTTTGAAGAAGCCGCCATGCCTGCAAATGTTGAAGCTTGTGATTGGTTGACTCAAGCTCTTCGTGGTCTGGAGCCACCATTTCTGGATCCGGTTTACGCGAATATGCGCGCGGTATGCAGTCTAACTATCTGACTGGGCAATGGCAGCTAGAATGGCATTGCAAGGTCCAGTTGTGTCAAAATACACACGAACACTATCACAAGTTGTCAAATTAATAACGCCCTACAAGGAAACGCAACAGTAGGAGCCACAGTCCACTGTGGGTCCTCCTGTTGATATGTGTGATTCCATTTACACCAACTGCTAGACATCCATTATAATTCATCATCGAAGTGAGTAATGTCTTTTCTGAGTTTGCTTAAGTTCTAGGGGCGTATCGGTATATTTATATGGTTAACGATTGAGACACAATGGCACGCACAAGAAACCATAGCATCCACGTTGGCTTCCCATTTCGTCTGAGGAAGGAATGGAATTTGCTTGTCGGTGTGTTCTACTGTGTATATCTTCTGTTCCTACCCTGCCTTGGGTGCCAGCAGCTCTTTTACTGAGATATATCACTGAATAGATCGTCATGAAAGACGTCTCCTTAATACATTTGGTCTTACCGTTATTATCCGGGAATGAATTGAAAAATGTCCGTGACTTCTTTGGTAATCTCTCCCTGAGGCTGAGTGAGACAGTATGGTGAACCCTTATTGTATTATCTTTCGAATGTGTTCAAGCTTGCCAGTCAGAACTTATGAAAGATTCGATTCTATAGCTTACTCCTGGGATTTTGTAGCTGTCAGGTGGATGAGCTAGTTAAGGATCTCTGTTGAAACCTATATTTTGAAACTAATATCTTCATTGGGATTTACTATTTTCAAATGAAAGACTCTCTTCACTGTGAAGTTGTCCTCTCTTATCTCCCGTCAACTTCTAACTCGTCTTTTCTATCTACTAGGTCTCTTCATGTTAGAACATCTGAGCCAGGGCGTGGGATTTTCAGTCTTCAGACTATGACAGGCACATATGGCGTCCTCCTGGTGTATTCTTTTCAACTGTTTGGTTTCACCTCGATTTCCTTTCTCTGTGCTGCAGGTAAGAGATAAACGCGCTGAGCTTGAAAAGCTGAAAGCAACGTTCGTGCGTCGAGCTTCAGATTTCTTAAAAACCTACTTCTCCAAACTGGTGGACTTCATGATTAGTGACAAGTCTTACTTCTCACAGGTGTGGTACTATTTTCTGTTCGTTTCGAGCATTGTCTGTTGTGGAGGTTTTACACTCGCTCAGCGAATGGTCCTTTGATCTTTCCATGAAGTGATTTTTTTTTGCTGTTTTCTTATTTCAGAAGGGACAGCTGAAGCGGCCAGACCATGCTGACTTACGCTTCAAGTGTAGAAGTTATGCACGCATGCTGCAACATCTGAAGGTATGATGGGTCCTATACTCGCATAAAATCATTTATCATACCCAAGTTTCTCATTCCAATCCAAGTCCTGTACTTCGTGAGGTGGCTCTGATGGTTATTTGCTAACGTCGATGAAACAAATTCCTTGCTTTAGACTTTCAACTCCAACTCTGTCCTTCAACTTTATACTTACAGCCGCACCAGCTCAGTCTACTGAATTTTTTGATTGTGTTGTCACAGGCTCTTATTCAGTTTGATTGAAGTTGTATGTTGCTAGTGAAGAGGAATTGAAATGGTGTCAAATCATTTATTTGTGCGTTCCGCTCGTGCTTTCAGAATCTGGATAAAAATTCCTTGGGACCTTTGCGGAAAGCTTATTGTTCTTCACTCAACCTCTTACTAAGACGAGAGGTATGCGTTTTCCTCATTTGATGTCAGAAAACAGAGCCTGTATGAGAATGGACAGCAGTAGACTCTTCAGAATGGACTGCTCTTGAGAATAGAGGACATGTTCTGTCGTATCTGCTTTAAGCTTTTTTGTTGCATGCTACATGGTTTGATACAAATTTGAACTTGACTTTGTAGGCTCGTGAATTTGCGAATGAACTTCGGGCATCGACAAAAGTAACTAGAAGCTCAGGTGCTTGGAGTCTCGAGGGTTCGGGCGGTGGATCCTTGGGGGGTAGTGGCTCTGATACCTCGAATGTGTCGGAAGCTTATGCGAAGATGCTACGAATTTTCATACCTCTACTTGTAGATGAGGTAGGTGTATGCCCCTCTCTCTCCATCTAGTTACATTCTGAAAAGTTTCCGATTTGTAAGATACTGGGTCCAAGACTTTTGACTGATCGTTTGTTTATCGTCGGGGCTCGTTACAGAGTTCCTTCTTTGCGTCGTTCATGTGCTTTGAGGTCCTACCTCTTGTTCCTCCTGGAACTAGTGGGGAGACCGCGGATGAGGATGAAGATGACATCAGTCCTCTGGACGAAGACGGAGCAGACCTCAAGCCTGGTTCGTGCTTCACTCTCCGACTTTTAGTGCTTTTTTTCTTCATTTACAGGAAATTGCGGATGGTGAAATGGTATGCCAGGGATTTTCTTTTTTTTGGTTGGTTGTGGCACACGTATTTGTCAAGTCGGCAGTCATAGCATCAGAAGATGAGACTTGTGTGTAACTGAATCATGAATTCTATCGCAATTTGGTCAGTATTTGATGAAGAGTTGTTGTGTATAGCAGCACAGCAAAATCCTGTAGAGTTGGAGGCTCTCAATCAATCACTCCAGGATTTGCTTGTTGGAATCGAGGTATAGACCTTTCTTTACTGTTGACACTTCTTACATGCTTATTTCAAACACCACAAACCATTCTCTTTTTTAAAAAAAAAGTTCAGTCCTTTTATTCGTACACAATGCACTGCACTAGAATTAGATGGCTCTTAACTTTCAAGCCGGCGTCAGAAGTAGTTTGCCACAATCTTCCTTTGTTCTCTCAGTTCATGATCATTCAAAATTCGCAACTTTCAATTTATGCACACAGGCGTGGTTTCTAGATGTTATTGACGTCAGTTCGTCATACATCATGTACTGAAGTGTTGAAAATGCTGTCGCGCAGGAGGACTTTTATGCAGTAGTAGACTGGGCGTATAAGATCGATCCTCTCCGATGTATATCGATGATGGGAGTTACGGAGCGCTATTTGTCTAGTCACAAAGCTGATGCCGCTGGTTTTGTACGCCGTTTACTTGCAGATCTTCAAAATCGGATCAGTCTCCAATTCAACCGGGTTTGACTCTCATTTTGGAGCCTCTTACGCAGCTATTGCTATCCAATTTACTGATTTGATTCCGTCCCCGTGGGATGTATATATTGTAACTAGTAACCTCATTATCCTCATTCTTTTGTTCGCTGGATATCAAGTTGCCATGGAGAGTTTCATGGATGTCGTCATCTGACAATTGGACTCTTCAGTGTCCTGTCGGAAGGGGTTTCAATTTACATGATTGCTAATAGGTGATGTTTCGGCCTGCAGTTTGTAGACGAAGCTAATCTTCAGATTGAGAAGCACGACAGAAGTATCAGGCAGATTGGAGTGCTGTCATATATTCAAAGGTACCGAAGGAGTACCGACTTAGCATAGAATGTGTACTATCTGTTTGTGATCTGGGGTATTTGCTATGGACCCCTTTAACGTTGTCGAATGTGCACGATGTCGAACATTGTTCTTTAACCAGTTTTCAAATATATTCCGAGTGGATGTTGCACTTTCCTCGAATTTTCCTGTGTTTTTGTCTTATGGAATTGGTTTAGACTTTGGCGGAAACCTCCAGGAATGATATCACGTAGCGGTCACTTGCTTCTCTGTGCCTGCTGGAGTTTTGATATGTATAAACATGTGTGGACAGGTTTGCTTATCTAGCTCAGCGGATGGAGAGTCTCATTCAGGGGAACTCCAGAGAGGTGGTTGATTCTGCTTACAGAAAGCTGGTAAGTCAGTGTTTTATGCAGCTAACTTTGACTACCGGTGTCTACCACAGCTTTGAAAGGTGAAGTGGTTAGAGATGACGTTTCTCATTACCAGTAATTTTGACTTTTCTCATTGTTTCGTATTTACAATTGAATGTATACCGTCAGTCTTCCAGTGTGAAATTTTGATGTTGGCTGCTTATCGCCTGCAAATGTCACTTTGATAAGGTTTTCAATCCTAGCTTTCCGTGAGTTCGCTGCATATGAAGTCTTAAGAGATCACAGAGAGTTGTAAGTCACCTGAAACATGTACAGGTGGAGACAATGTTTGCGGTGTTGGAGAGAATTGCGCAAGTTGATCCCAAGCACCAGGATGTCTTACTCTTGGAGAATTATGCGGCTTTTCAGAATTGGTAAAGATTAAACATATCTAGTTGATCTTAACTTGGTCGACAGGGTGTACGCTCGTGGACGATCTTTGTATTCGTAGCAATGAAATACGAGGTAGTGTCGAAATGTGGAGCTGGATGTTGCATTGGTGACCTGCCGTTCCTTAGGTTTCACATCTAGTACGTATTTAACCCCTTTTTTGTGCTTTGTTGGATGTGGGATGTTGCTTGCTCACAGTATGTTCGACTTAGCCAACGTTGTTCCAACTCTGGGTCTGTACTATCAGCAAGCTAGTGAAGCTTATGAGCAGGCTTGTACTCGCTATGTAAATACAGTCATCAACTACGTGAGCCCTTAACTCATCCCAGTGAAAACGATGATTTTTTCCTTTCTGTCTTCTTTCCCTTGCACTCGTTCGTTTACATCAAGTTTGTCAAAGTCTGGTATTACATTGTGACTTAATGTATGTCAACGTTATATTGTCAGACTGACGTTGATCTACATCCGTATTGCAGCAATATGAAAAGCTTTTTCAATTTTCTCAAAGAGTCGAGAACTTGCTGTACACAATACTACCTGAGGAGGTTTGTTCAAATATAGCGCATGACAGACCCACTGTCGTGTTTTCTAGGCTTAGGTTTCTCGAGACTACCGGTTTCTTTGACCAAGTAGCTTGTTCCTCAAAACAATTGGTTTTAGGATCACATGAGCATCGATAGATTTCTTCATGGTTTCATAGATGATGACCTTTGTTTAAGCCTCTGTGATGTTTATTCTGGGCGTACCTTATCCATCTTACTCGGGTTGTCAACCAGGTTCCATTTCAAATGAATTTCTCGAAGGCCGAAATGCGGAAGACTGTCAACGGAAGTCTTAAAGGGGTGAGTGAGTCCTGGCCTGCTGCAGCATGGCTTGTCCTACGTATCAGTAACAATGATATTCAGAACAATTTTGTCGTCACCTGGAAAAATCATATGTACAGGAGGGTACTTTTAAGTCATCACCGTTTTGTTTTTCTATTCGTCCTGGTTGTAAAGCCAGGAGAGAGATTCTTGGGTTGCGCTTTACTGAGTGCAAGACTTATATGCATTTAAAAGAAAACAGAAAGCATTTCAGTCTTTTTGGCAAGAACGTGCAAGTGATGTTATAACTTTTAAAAACATAGATATTTTAAAATTTTAAAATTTATTGATGTATCTTTCAATGTTTACGTACCTTAAAGTTCTGCTTTTGTAAAAAAAATTGAAAGCTCCTAGTACTGTAACCCAGCATGGATCTGACTCTTGAACTCAATTTTTTCTACAAATAGGTAGAGAAGGCCTTGAGGGATATGTACAAACGCATGCAAAAGCACCTCACATCCGAAGAGCTCCTTCCTTCTCTTTGGGAGAAATGCAAGGTACGTTGGTTGATATTATGCAGAAGAATAGCTCCAAGATATGGAAAACAGGCGTTGTTTTTAACTGTTGTTATGCTGCAAGTTCTTAATTGTGTCATGAAAGTTTATGCGGTGGTTTTGATTCCCTCTCGATTTCCAGGAAGACTTTTTGGACAAGTATGAGAGTTTGGAGGCCCTCATCGTGAAGTGCTATCCAAAAGAGTCTCTCAGTCCTTCGTCTGCCGAAATGAAGGAGCTTTTAAAGAATGTATAGAAGCGTCTTAGAAGTATCCGCACATGTGAGTACAACACTGCCACACACAACATTTTGTATTTTGCAAACCTTGGGCTGTTTATTCAGTTGTATTAAAATTCAGATTATTTTGGAGGCATTTAAGCTTTCCTGTTTATATAGATTGTGGTTGTATTTTGTAGGAAATATCTCGGGTTTTTGTAAAACCCTTTCAGGATTCGGGAGGTGGTAGGCACATGAAAGATAACAATTCGGAGATTGCAAACTATGTCTCGGACAAATATATCCCCTGGTAGTCATAGATGGTTTTCCTGTGTTGGAGTTAAAAATCATAAGATATCTCCCTACGTTTCAGGTATCAGGAGATTTCATTCTTTAGGTCCCCCAGTTTTAGGATCTCATTTTCGATTAGAAAGTTCTCATACAAGATTGGTTGTCAAGGTCACTTTTAGCAGGTGTTTAGTAGCTGTATTCAAGAAATAGGTTCGTAGGTTTGGGTTATAAAGAATTGCTATTAGGTCTCCTTCAATTGTGTTGTCAATCAATTTTTTAATATCACCAAAGTGCAGACTATGAGTCCGATGTTGGTTCGAAAAGAAATAATGGATTACATACCATTCTTTTCCGATTCCGAGCAGAGATTCCATGGCTTCAGATGCGAATGAGACGGTGTCAGTGAATTTTCGGAAGGGTGGCTTGTTACATAGAACCAAATGTGGGCTGTGAACAACTTTGTCTGACAGAAGTCAGGGCGCATGCAGAGTGACAGAATCAGTGTAACTCATGCACCGCGTTGTCAGATTAACGTACTTGACCAGCACTTTCCTGGAAAGAAGTTAAGTTTCTGTCTATCTATCGTTCTGGGATATGGAAGCATATCCCAGAACGAATTCTACAAGTAGGACCATCTTGCAATTTGGTACATCCAAATTGATGTGAGTTGACTTCAACTTCACTGTAAGTATAAACCCCAGCAACGAATCTCCATTGAAAGTAGGACAGCAGTTCTGCCTGGTGACTTGGTTCACGAAACTAGTTTTTAGTTTTACACCTAAGTCATGCCACTCAATTCTAGTATGTGAAGGGTCACCGAATGTAATATCAGTTCGACGCAGATGTTCACAATTGTTCAGTTCTTACTCAGATTTGAAATACGTTCCGCAAGGAAGAGTGACTAAAAGTCGGTAGGGAACGGGGAAGAGAAGGCAGGAGGAAGTACTAGCACTGTCGCTCGCATTAAATGCTTACAAGATTATTGTGCACCGCATGTTTCCAACTGTTCACATTTAAAGCTACTAAATTTGTACCAATTTCCAAAGCTGGCGAGAAAATTTATAGTACAAGTAGGAGAGCGAAAAGACGGGAAGACCCAAAGATGAAACGAATCATTTATTTTGATCCTTATCCGTTTTTATTTCAGATTAAAATAGCCTGTACAAACCCCCAAGCAGTGCAGCAGTATTGGGTTAGGATCCAATAGCATGAGTAAATATGTCCAACTCCACTTACATTGTATTATACTATCAAAGATAGCATGCAATGATTATTTCTTCTAGGTTGAAAGGTTTAATATCTGAAGAAGATTAATACATATGCTCTACTTTTTAGAATGAAAAACTTGAGTAAAATAGATTACTAGATATGTTGAGAAAAGCAATAAACCATGTGATGTAATATGTAGGTTTTCATACATTCTCTCACATGGTTTCTTCCATAGTTCCATATGATACAAAAGCTACGGAGAAAAAGATTTGACGCCATTCATTTTCAGTATGGTTGATATGACGACGATATTTAAGTTCCATATAATCATGGGTTTAGTGTGAAAATATAAAAGTTTTATGATTTCTTTCATAGTTCCATATGAGTTAAAGGCTAAGGAGAAAAAGATTTGACTCAAATCATTTTCAGTATGGTTGATATGATGGGGATATTTAAGTTCCATATAATTCTGGATCTAGTGTGAAACTATAAAAATTTTACAATAGAATAAACCTTGAAATATCAAGATGTCAATATAATTCCAAGAATTAGGCTGATCCTCCCACCCTCCTAATTTGATTTGCCTACACTCAACCCCCTATCCCCGACACCTTTCTACGTTTCCGCCATCATGTTGTATGCACGTTTCGTTCAAATGAACTCGAGAGGGGGTTCATGGAGCGACAGTATAAGGAACGGGGAATCAGAAAGTCGAAGGAGGAGGTGGTGAGATAAGGAGATGGGAGTGTGGAAAAAGAAAATCAAGGAGTGAGTATCAGCCCCCTTCCAAGAAATGTTATTTTAAACGTAATCAATAATAAAACATGGTTAGGATGTGAATCAAAAGAAAAGACCTATATTAACAAAGGATATTACTTCAAACATTTATAGGCTACAAAATGTATCGCTATCCAGGAATTTTAATTTCATTATGGTTTGCATATCATTTTGGAGACAATTCTTTGCAAAAAGTGATGAACTCTTCAGACTTAGTTATATTTTCAATCTTTTCTTGCCGTGGGATTTCAGATTAGACATTGTATATTCTAATTCAATTTGGGCACTATGATTTAGACTTGCAAGTTGTGAAATTTTACAACACCGTGATTTCAATACATCATTTGTTAAAACAAGCTGTCCAGTCGCTACAATACAATTTGTCACTACCGGAGCTGCTCTATGCCTCAATTTGGTTTTGGTTCAATTTGGTATCAATATTATGTAAAGGTCTTCTAAGGCTTTCTATCTACTAGTGTAAATTCTCGTTGACCACAACTGTAGTAACCAGGCTGTCAAACTCACTAGTAGTGACTAGTGAGTTTGAACAAGAATTATTCTTAACAATATTCTCAACTTTTATGCTTGCTTAGTCTATATTTTAAAAACTGAGAAATTCTAACCTGAGATAAACCTAATTGGATTTCAATAAATAAATAAAAAAGACTTTCTATTTTCATCGTTTTTGAAAATAAAAATATGATAAACTTTATGCTACAAACGTTTTCTTATCGAAGAATCTTTCTAGAACAAATATTATATTCTTGTATATGTTCGAAGTTGGATCTTTCACATGGAATGAAGATTGGTATTCTTGCAGTTGACTTTTATAACTGCATCATACTTTCTTTGAAAGGATCAAAATATTGATGACATCGTAGTTGTCAAAGAGTCAAAAAGAATACGCTACAGGAGAGTGAAAAAAAAGAATTTATGAATGTAAAACAAGTGGATCTACGATACTGAAGCTCTTCAAGTAGAGTGCAAGAAGAAAAAATAATTCCTTTGTTATTTTCACTTTGGACTTGTTTGTAACTATCATAACACAGCTGTCATTATCATTGATATATTATATAATTTAATTTATAAGTTTAATTATTCTCTCAGAGGACACTTATACGTGCAATTTATACCAAATAATATTGATTTTGATTTCCATATTTGATTACATTTTGATTTAAGTGCACATTTTGATTTTAATAATTTGGATTCGCTGCTTGTAATATATATCATTATGATGTGGCTAGTGGTGTTTTAACTATATAGTTTCATGCATGCATGGCATAGTAATCGATGGTTTCGTCAAGAAAGGAACATTCGAGGTACTTGCAAGAGAACATAGAGTACGAGTGACATGTTCCGACGGTGACAAAAAATACATGTCAACAGCCGACCTTGTTCACTGCAACTTGTGCTGGGCCGCTGGCCCGAGCGGAACAGATTTTCAGTACGGAACGATTAGAGTACGTGCGGAAGTAAATCTCCTGGTTAAACAGCATATGTACGAAGTACGACATGTCGGAACGAAGAAGACACGGAGTTCCTACACCCCGGCTCCGTTCACACGAGCAATGCAAGGCGCTCAAGATCAGATCTCTTGAGCTGGTTGTCGGTATGACCTCCGGAATCCGCAGAAACCCGGCAGTTAAAAAATTATGTCATTTAACGGAAAGCGATTTGATCCTTCAGTACGGATTTTGTCATGGGCGAGAGCAGTGGCGCACAGCGCACCCTTTTAATAGCAGATCAAACATCCCGCCCTTGAGAGGCGCGATTGATCAGATGCGAGTCGTTCGGCACGCTGCCTCGCCGCGCGCCCATTCATCAGACGGGGGCCGAGAGGAGAATCGCCTTGTGCTAACGCGGAGCCTAATTCCGCAGATTCTCAGAATATGCTCGCGCCTTGCACTTCGTCTTCGGCCGTTACAGTGTGAGCGAGCGTACGTCCGTGTCAGCAAAGTCGCCACAAGTTGTCGACCGGGTTCTCCTCCTCCTTATCTTCGCTGTCTGCTCCGCCCCACGGGCGAGCATTTGGTTCGACCCCAGCGTGGACTGCTTGTGGTTCTCCTCACGGCCGAGAAGCTTCGTCGAAGGGCGCAGATTCTGGTGCTCTCGGTGCTGAAAGTGCACAACATCTTCCTTTCGTGATTCGAACGCCCACTTGTTGGAGAAGAAACGAACTGGCTGGAATCTCTCGTACGTTGGAGCTGGAATGCGGTAGAGTTTATCAGTGTGATCGACCGAACTTCTGGAGTTTCTCTCACGAAATATCAATCTTACCAAATGATGTATTTTAGAGTTTTCTAATGGTTTGAAAGATTGTGCATGTCTTCAGCTTTTCCTCCTCATTCAGTGCCTCCGTTGTTCTCATTGCTCATCGCGCTTACGGATGCATCATCATCGATCTATTTTTGGTTTAACAAGATTGAATGGGTGACATTTCAACCTTCGACTCTCTCTCCTACGTTTCACCCATGTGCAGAATATGCTCTTGTTTGATCAACGCATCTCTCGTCCGGAGGCCCACTTCGTGACTAAGTTGATTCCCTTTGAGTTCAGTTTGAAACAAATTAGAATAATTTATACGTAGTCCAAGCAAACAGTGAGGAAAGTGAGATAGTGGGTAGGTCAAATAACATTCGAATCTGAACATATTAGAGGTAGTTGTGTGACGAAATCCTATAGGTGTGTTGGAGTAATTTGTCATTTCTGCTGAATCTGGTAGATAGTTATGTAGGATGGGACGTTTCTTCTCTTTGAATGTCTCGACCCGACGTTCTTGTCGAACGTGTTATTGTCAATACATGTTCCTTTGTCAGAGGGAAGAATCATAACCCATTTCCTGCAACGGGTTTTCCGAGTTCGTTTGCTCTGGAGGGGACATGACACAGGTGCGACCAATCCCAGCAGATTCTCGATGTCCTGTACGATTTAGCAAGGACAAGATCAATCACCTCGAAGAGCTTCGTACATCAAAACAATTGAAGACGGTGGCGACTTGGCGTACTCATGATGAACTTAAATTCTTTTTGAGGAGGAAGGTCGATGTGCTCTACTCTTCTAAACACTCGTTCGAATTTCTTGCCAAGCGCCCAAGGCCAATGCAAGTGGCTTACTCTAGGCTTGTTCTTCTCGTCTAAGCATTCGTAGCTAGATATACAAAGCCTTTCAAGAACCTCCTTAACTGCGTACGGTTTATTGTCCGGGTTTAAAATTTTACAAAACGTCGTATGCAATGTCGGTGTCTTATATTCGACCCTATGTTGCTTTCTTTGTCCACAACAAACTCATATGGCTCTTCACAGATAAAGATAGCGTCCGCCGTTTTCAACTTCGACTCCGTAGAAGGTTCTCAATTTTTGAAGCCGAACTACTTCTTACTTTGATGACCTCAATGTATTGCTCCATCAACGCTGAAACGAAATTATGGAGTAACATCGTTAACTTGCACACCAACCAAGCTCTCCCATTGTGTTCGAAAATTTTCCTAAGCGGATTCGGGCAACCTCGTGTTTTCTGAAGATTGCGCATGGATACGAAGAAAAATCGAAGGAAGAGTTTTCTTGGACGACAGGAAGTACTGTAGAGATAGACTAGATGTGTGTCAAACCATGCTAGTATTACATTCTGTTGCTAATTCTTGAACCTGGAAAGGACTGCATCTAATCTTATTCCTCCCTCTATTCCAGTATTTACTAGGATACTTGATGCTGGCTGAAGGAAAGCTGCGAAATTAGTGCCACAGCATCTCGGAAAACTTGTTAGTTGGATAATCCTAAGCAAAATCGAGATACTGGTTCTTATTCCTCTCTTTTTTCAAACTCAATCCCTTTTTTTTCTCTCAGATGATCATTGCGTGTTTGATATGCTCATTCCGTCTTTGACGACATTCTATATGTGCAGGTACAGATCTATAGTCTTTGGACTTACCTTCGGCATATCTAAGGCTATGTACATGCAAAGTAAAACGTCGAGTATTCCATGTATCCAAAAGTTGCGATGATGATGATGAGTTGTTTCTTCTCAAGCTAGCAAAATGGAAGAAGTAGATAACAAAAAGGTGGGAATACCCCATCTAGCTCTTTCTTCCCAAGCTATCAGTATGAGACAAGTAGATAAGAAAAAGGTGAAGAATTTACCATCAAGTCATATAAAGAGTACATCAAGACAAGATCTCGATAGTATCACTACGGAAAATATGGTATAAAACACCCAAATTGAATCAATTGTCAATCCTATTAGCTTTCGGTGTAACAACTTCTAATTTGATTGTGTTTCTTTATATAACACTAGTTAGTGGTTGTTTTGACCACATACTTTCTTTACAGTATATGAGTGACATGATAGCCAAGCAACGTAGAATGATAGAATTTTGCACATTTTCTCACTAATATGTCAAATTTCTAATTCATAATGTTAAATAAGAAGTAATTTTCGAATACTAAAAAACATCCCTATAATATGAGTAAGACTTCACATACGAGGATTTGATTATGATGCTAAAAGAAAAAAGTAAACATCTTCCAAACATTATGCATGATGAAACTTTGATCATAATGCTAAAACAAAAAAGGTAAACTATTTCCAATATGATATACGAGGAAATTCAGATGATGATACTGAAATTGAAAAGAGTCAATCCCTTATCAAAAGTATATTTTATGAAAGTATGGCTCTAAAAATGGTTGTACTTTGGTGTTCTTGAACCAAATTAAATTTAATATTGCTGACCTAAATTACCTATCAATATTCATCTCATATCAGGCACCCACCTTCATTAGCCAGTTTGAACGCTACCATAGAAAATATTTTCATGAGTAACTATTCTTTGTATATTGAATATTCAATTTACTTATGACATATGTTACTTATAAATTAGCATCACAATGTATAAATACATAAATTCATGCCGAGGGCAAAGAAAAAATTAATTGATGTGTGAAAAAATAAGTTTCATCGAAACATGTTAAGATGTCACAGAGCTTGTGATTTTGTTAATAGTGTCGGGAATTTAGCCATTCCAGTTTCAAAAGCGATGCAATTCTTCTTTAGTGAACTTCCCAACTATACAAATGTCGGAAATTCATTCTAACCTCTGTATACGCTATCATGAGCTCGGCGTGATCTGAGACTTGGATTCCGTTCTCATTGTGATTGGCATCCCTGGATTCGGAATGATATGCGGAATGTTACTTCCGAGGTGGCTCCGGCATTCTGGATGTCGTCGATCGATCCGAGTCATCAGACTATATCGGAACAGCAGAATGAGTAGAGCGAGCGCCCTCGTCTTCTATGTTTAGCTGGTCTCTGTTCGTGATACGGTGGGGCTGTACGGAAGGTCCGTATTCTTGCTGCTGGGACAGTATCGGTCAATAGGCAGATTAGGTTAAGCCTCCTGTTTCTGGCCTTTCCTTTTCGTCAGCCCTGTCGCCAGTGGGCGAATCTCCGTCTTGATGCGCCCTGGTTGGTTGTGGAACGGGCTCATTTAAGATGGCCCGCAATCCACCGACGAGCTTTACCTGAGGGAGGTGCCCGGGCCATCACTTCGGGACACGTTGTCATCAGGGTCGGTCGCCCTCGAGCCTTCTCGCCCGCCTTGTGAATCTCGCCATAGTTTCATCGTGTGAGTATCCCGTCGCTTTTCGGCGGTTTCAAAGAAGTCGGGGAACTCTCGACGAGCTCGACTCGACTTGAGGAAGGATTTCGGGCTGTCCTTGTGCTTCGCACCTTCTCGACGGGCTTTCTCCTTCGAGCTCCTGACCTTCGAGGGTTGATGAAATCGTGGAGGATGGAACCTTCGTGTCGAGGGAGGTGCTGTGCGGCACGAAGCGAGAGTGGGATCTTTATTCCGAGGTTTTAGCTCAGCCGAGGCGGACTCAGCGAAGCTCACAAGAGAGAGAGAGAGAGAGAGAGAGAGAGGGAGGGAGGGAGAGAGCCACCAGCCAAAAGCAGATCGTAAGCGCTGAAGGAGGCGTTTTGTCCTCCATTAGTGTGTCGACGAGTGATACATGAATCTGAGACCAGATATAGCTCCCATCCTGGCCAGTCCTTGACCGTACGATGTAACACCCCCATCATAGGGAGGATGATGGACGCATTCGTGAGTAGTTTGGAGGCTGTCAATGTTATCCAAGCCCAAAGGCACTTTCTCGGCAGTGCTTTCCAGAGTTTTACAGCTCACCTGCCAAACCTACTGCTGACGACTTTGTTCGTTTCCCAAATTGAAGGCCACATCTGTGGCGCTCACAAAATCGTCATCCTTTCGGTAGGTGCGGACAGAATCGTTCAAGAAAATGATTCAACTGATTTGTGTAGACCCGGGAATGTGGACAGCAAGTTCGTTCAAGTGAGCCTACCTCGGCCGGCAGTCACAATCGGAAGTGGTGCCCGAACGATGAAGAAGTCCTTCAGCAGAACAAAAGAAACTCCTTTGCTTGAAGTTGGGCCGTTCGGCAATCGTGAAGAAAATCGTCGAGTTGTTTCAACCGCGAGAAAAGTTTTAGGGTTTCTCGGTAAACTGTAGCGGGCGAGAATGGTGGACGCCTTCTCACAGTTCTCACTGCGCGGGCGCTCTACGGCTTCGGCACGTGATTGTTCAGGAGCAAACGGCATCCAAATTCCAGCCAACGGCCTCTCGCCTCTGTTCTGTCGTGGAACCGTCCCCCGGTCAGGTCTTTCATGGTCATGCGATTCAGAGTACGTTTTCTCTGTTCTTTCAAGTCCCTCCCTCAGATTGACCTGATCTGGTCTCGGCTGGCACGAGGCCGCGATCGTACCGGATTCACGGTGCCATTCTTCTGCGCTTCATTGGACGGGTCCTCTTCAGACTGCCCTTCTGTACGAAGGTCGTACAGAAGGAGGGAGGACGGTTCCGCCCACCCCACTGTAACAAGGCCTCACTAGACGACAAATTCTCGTGTTCCGCCCGATATTTTATTGTAATTATATCGGTCTCTTCCTCCGGGTACACGTGGACGGGACGGCGTCGTTACCTTAGATTTCTGAACTACGTTGCCGGCCCGTCCCGTTAGCCGTACCGTGGAGGGTACTCCGTTGCGACTGGTTTCTAACTGCGTGGATCATGTGGTCTCCGGTGCCTTCTGCGCAGTTCCACCTATGACACATCGTCGGGTCTACTTAGATTTTCGGCACATGAGCCCGTTTGTGCGGTTTTTCTAGACAGGCATCTTCTTTTGACCCGGGGGGCCCGGTCATATCTCCGGTCGTACCCTCTGGCCTTCGCAGGAATCAACGGTGAAATACGAGAAGTACCGATACGAGTCCGTACCGAAGCATCAGTTGACGACTACGGATTCATCGGCCATTAAGTTGGCCGTTGATTCTGAACATCGGATCTCTGGAGGGTTTCACCCTACGCATTCCTAACTGTCGATTCAAGGTGATCGGGCGTAGTACAGCCGGTGCACTCTTGATCTGCGCCGACTGTGCGGAGTCTAGTACTGCGACTGCAACCAATCCTACAGCCGTAGTTCGAACGTACCTGCAGGGAAGCGCAGTTTTGTGTTCGTCCCGTTGTGGACAACGTCGCTGGATAAAGATTTAGAATTTTTAGAAACACACCAAGATTGAAAACACATTTAAGCATACATTGAATTATATACAAAAGACTTTGTGTTGACATGTCGCATTGTGACACTATTGGTTCAATGCTAGCCTTATGTCGACACTCTGTGTCATCGTAGGATGTAAATTCCACGAGATTCTCATACCAATCTTCCTCAACGAATCAGCCAACTAAGCTTTACTCAATCTTGTCTACAAATGACATTCAATCAACTTTTCGAAATAAATGTAATCATATCCAGCTTCTTCGGCAAACACTTTATGTGAGAAACATTCTCTCATATTTTAGACGTAAGAACTCAAAAAATAGAAGACAAAAAATGGTAATATCTGGAGTAATTTATCATTAGATGTATCGTTTGTATTTGCTAATATAGGCGAATGTATGCTATATGCACGAATTCTTTGGATTGCTAGAGTAGAAACTTTGTAGATTAGTCTCCAGAATTCTCTGTTAGCCCAATTTATTTCACAATTATTATCCAACAAGTCATGTGTAACAAGTATTGCTAGAACAATGTACTCAAGGGAATTATACATGTCAAATAGTGAGTCTTTGCATGTACAAAGCATGACAAAGTATCCTTACATGATTACATTAAAGCATGTAGATCTGAAAACTGTAGTATCCTCAAAACAAAACATCCCAGATATTTTGTGAAATGACATGTGCATGATTCAAGGATGTAGTAGTCATAGTTTTCTTTATTGAATTTCAATACCAATCATAGATTTTATTGATAATCTACCAATAAGCAAACATATAACTTCTATGAAACATACAACATACATATCGTTCATCTTAATAAACTTTCTATGTTTTAAATCAGATACATGTCTTCAATCTCTTTGAGGTAAACTAAAACTTGTACCAAAACAAGTTTTATTCTATAAGTTGTTTTATTTCACTTCACTGATGTTTGGAAAACGTATTAAGCACTTAAACAAGCTATTTGATGAAAACTTACAATAAAGAGTTGATGTCAGTACTTGTACAATTTTCAAGGTGCGTAAAAGTGCTACAAATGCAGCCATCTCAAATATTGTTCAATGAATGAATCTATTATGAAATAGATATTATGAGGTAGATGTTTACCTCTTGAGTTACTATAGCACACACACCTTGATGATTTCGACTCCATAATTCTAGTGTAATCTTAAGGGTTTAAATGAGTACTTTGTCATAAAGCAATGATTCATTAGAATAACATTTAGTATACATACGTGATCGTGAATAATGATCTTTATAATGTGATGTCATGTGTATTTGTACAAATACTACCATGAAATATATGGAGACAATGGAAATTTAATGAGTGAGTGTATGGCTGATACATCAGTTAAATGATATTGCAATCAAAGTTTTTTGTTTTAGACTTGTTTAACGGTATGAGAATGTTGTTAGAAATCATAGTACTCAAATTATAAATACTTAGAATCTAGAGAAGACGATGGATTGTAGCTAATGAGACTATATTTGAGTCTCAAAGTGTATAATAATGTTAAAATTCTATGAATGTGTATGTGTTATGGTTAACGACATCTGGAGAGTATAAAACTGTTAGTGAGTCACACTTGTGTTTGTTGATGTGGATGTATTGAGTGTTTTTACAAAATATGTATGAGCATGAACAATATACAAATAATGTTGTTACTATTTTTATATAATCAAAGTCAAACATTACACACATCATCTATGGTTCAGTATGGATTTTACAGGCTATCCTTATCTATAGAGCAAGGGACATGTAAGTCAATTTCTAATTTCAGAATCTAAGGGAAGTCTTCTCCTTTCTTTTCTCCTGGATGTTATGAGCATTTTCCTACATATGCTGCCGAAAAGAAGAAGGTAGTCATTGCATGTGGATGATCAGTTTGTGAGTTGGGGTTGAATTATACAAAGTTGCGAGTCATCTGGATTTTAAGGAATAACCCTAGAACATCGCTTGTCAAGGTCTCTATTCCTCCTTTTGCTACCGAGGGGAATATATCAATCCAAATTAAAAATACTTTGTGACCGGTACCTATATCACACCCTCATTGAAAAAAAGGAAAAAGTAAGGATGCCCCGCTTTCTGCGAGGCTCGCTTGCGGGAGCAGATATGTACACACGCAAGATTGGTGATCGAAGCTGCGCGCCTCACACTTGTCATCACCGAGGGGCGCTTTCCGGACCTTGCGAGGGCTTCGATCACAGGACGAAATTTTCGGTGTCCGGGGGTTCTTCTCAAATCCTTTTTCTTTTGGATCACCTTTTCAGCCGGCGAGGGAATGCCGAGCGAGGAGGGGAAGGTCACGAATGCGAATGCAGCCGTGGACCGGATCAAGAAAAGGAGAGGCGCATCTTCATGCTGCGAACGCGGAGTTGAGATTTTCTTACAGTGGAGGAAACACGTGAGAAAAAGCGGGGAGGAACAGACAAGAGGTCTGTGACGATGTCCACGGGAATAAAGGAAGAGTACGGAACGTACATGTGCAGGACTCCAGAGTAGGACAAAATGCTAAAGGACATGACCATCCGTACTTCAAAGGTCGTATACTATTACTGTGAGCCCCCAAATATAAATGTTTATTGATGGGCCCGCTGGCCGTATTCTATTCGAGGCCGATGCTGCCAGGACCCCGTCTCCACTTTCACTGGGCCGAAACCACCGGTTCCGAAACCGGAGGGCGAATACCCGCCGGACAACCCATACTCCGATTTGAAACTCGTAACTCCAACGCCCCTCGCCCGCCCGCCCGCTTGACGTGTGAGGCACAGGATGGACCCGTTCAGACGCACCTGGCCGCCCCGAGCTGGATGTAGACAGTTAAACTCCAACAGGCGCAACCGGGGCGCGTTTCTGCCGACTACGGCCTCAGAAGGCACCGCGCCGAGGATGGCAGCGCAGAATAGGTTTGGGTGACCCGGGGAGAAGCTACCGAGACCATTTGGGCTGCACGACTTATTTTGGGACTCAGTCCCGTGATGCAGTCCAGACAGGTGAGGTGGTCTTGGCGCTGATGAGCGCGGCTCGTCAGTGCCATTGGTCGACATTGCCGGGGCCATCGCAGACAGGTGACATTCGGTATCGGTATGGCATCTCCGTAGTTGGCAATCGAATCCTTCAGATCGCCCTTCCCTGTGGGTCAATATTGGTGTATCCCGGTAGCCCGTGAATAATTACAGTACTTGATCACATGATGGGAAGGCTTTTCATTCCACACACAATACGCGACAAGTTGCGGATATTATTGGTGAGTCGGCCTGCCTCAAGCGCTCGGGCAATAGATCAAGGACAATATTTCTACGCGGCAGTTGGTATTTCCGTCGCCCTTTACTGTCGTAATCATTGTTAATTACCACGATTGTGTCAACCTAATGCGACAAGTGTGAATGTTTCCTTAGGTGCAAGATTGACATCATCCACTTTTCTTCGACTTGAGAAGTTTCACAGAGCATCCAAGTTATTTGCAATAATTGGGCATGTCTCTCTCTCTCTCTCTAAGTATGATGAGACTCAAGAGAATGCAAGTCCTTGCAAGGCACTCTTCTTGATTTCAAGGGCTTGACTCATCAAATCCAGGCTGGTATTTCCGGTTCCCTCTCTTTCGTAGAATATTTTCTCCTTTGAATTCTATCCTTTGCTCCCAGCTCGTCAGGGTAGAAAGGAAAAGAATTATTGTACAGCGAGTGAGTTCACTGGTTTCCGAAGAATCTGGGGTGCTTTGTAGGACAATTTGGAATGTCAGCATGAAGTGTGAGCTGTACAGTTTGAGGGTCCCCTGCCATGAGCACCTCCTGGAGAGGCCTCATTTTTCTAACATGCGGGCCTATGCCTGTATGTTGGAAAATTTAATGTATGGACTTGAGATTCTGTAGAGTGCAGGTGAAGGGGTTTTACTACAGGTACGGGTACAGGGGTAAGTACGGTACAGGACAGATGAATGCTGTTGGGTTTCACCTCCAAGTCAACTTATGAAAAACACGACAACAACAGTTGAACCCAAATGCACGGTAGAGTACTGCAGAGTACGGAAACGTGCAGTGGCAGAGTCAAGGGTCAAGTGGCAGGCTGCTGCTGGCGCAGGAAAAGGACTGAAGAAGAGGATGCGACGGGCACACTCTCGCTGATCAGCTTCGTGAAGTAGTAGTTGGACAGGGATTGTCGATTACAACTTGAAAGCCTAAAGGTCGTTGCAGTGGAGCAGCAACGCAGACTGATTGAGTGTTCTCACATTCAGCTTCAAGACCTCCCTTAAGGCCTTCAGTCTCTTCCGCTGCAGCGAGGTCTTTTGGAGTGAGCATCACAGGTGTTTGGATTCCAGTCGCGTTCGTTTGACATCTCGTCCTGAGTGCTCTGAGTGATAAATCTTTGCTGGTGATCACTGGTTTCTCGTTGTTTGTGGCGCGGTGTATGTGGTGGGCGGGCTGTCGTTGTTCCACCTTAGCTCGGTGTACAACGAACTTATTCTTTTCAGGAGGTCACAAGATCCAGCGGCGAGTTCATGGACAAGAGGAGACAGGGCGCCTGAAGCATGTGTGAAAGGTTTGCCTGAGACTGAGACTTATTCATGCCCAGTGGTTACCCAGGGGTTCCAATCGACCAGGAGGGAGTACGTTACCTATGCTCACACTAGATCGCAGCAGAGGCATCATGCTCATCGCAAGGTGGCAGTTTGAACGATTCTATAACCTTCTTTTGGGTTAAGGGTTGCTGCACTCTAGCAGACGAACTTGTAGCCTGGTTTGCAGCAGAGGAGGTGGTTGAAGAGGAAGCCTTATTCCTAGTCAGAAATCAGCAAAGAAGAAGAAGTTTCACCAAGACTCGTGCTTTGTGATACTTGATTTTCTGCCGATATCGATTTGTGCCTCACCTCAACCAACTGACTTGATTATATTGCTATCGACTGCTGTATTGACATCATGGCTGCGATGATCCCGAGAACCCGAGGGAAAGTTTGTACACACAAGCAGTGTTTTGATCTCCTGGATGATTACATTCTAAGCGTCATATTTGAGATGGTTCGAGACTCGACAGATAGACTGTCGGTGCGTCTTGTCTGCAAAAGATTTTTGACTGTGCAAGCCAGCTTTCGCAACAAGATGCAGGTTTTACGAACCCACATACTTCCCACAGCACTCGAGCGCTACACCGAGCTGAAGCACTTGGATCTGTCATTATGCCTTCAGGTGCATAATAAAGATTTGAGTGTCGTGGGAAGTTTCTCTGGGCCACGCTTGCAGTCCCTCAACCTGTCCTGCGTTTCTGGTTTTAACGAACAGGGGTTGATGCACGTGGCAACTCAGTGCACGTCGCTCAAAAGCTTAGATCTTTCAAATGGTCTTCTCTTGGAAGACGAGGTGTTGTATGCCGTTGCACTTATGACGAATCTGGAACATCTCAAGCTCGCCAACTGCCGGACAATCACTGATTCGGGGTTGATCGAGGTGGCTAAAGGGTGCCCAAAATTACGACTCCTCAACCTGAAATCTTGTATGAGGGTAGGCGACGCGAGTGCTATGGCAATCGCCGAAAATTGCAAGCTCGTGGAGGATTTGGATCTTTCTTACACTGAGGTTAGTCCTTGAGCTCCATCATACTTGTAGAATTGTCCATGTCGGCGGCCCTCTTTCCAGATGTTAGTTTTTTCTTAGGCCACATTCCTCCAAAATCTGTATGAAGGTAGAAGACTCAACTCATTTAAAGTATGAAACGGATATTGGAGAGTTGCGGGTTTACTAATGAAGGAAATCGCGGGGATTTGTTTCGAACAAATTTGTTTGAGTCGGTCCTATTTATTTGGCGCTTTGCTTGGTGACAGTCAATTTTTCGCGAATTCTTTCTGTCCATTCGACATTGGTTGACGGTAAGAAAATTTGGTTTCTTGTGAGCAGGTAACTGGTATTGGAGTCTCCAGAGTTGCCCTTTTGAAAAACCTGAAGCACCTGACGGTGGTGGGATGCTACAGTCTGGATAATAACAATCGGTCGTGGGTTGGGCAGAGTGGCGGCCCTCTTTCGGTAAGTGTTTTCAATTTTGATTTGCAAGGTCGAGATAATTACTCGCTGTGCTTCTTTTCGTGTGGAACTACGTCTCTGTTGTTAGCACTTAAAATTCACGCAGCGAAGCTTGACGTGACTGAGGTACTCCCTGAAGCGTAGATTCTGGTTTTATGTGCACACGAAAGGCAGATTCACTTAGCAAGGAGTAAATATGTTATGGCTTTCATCGGTCTTACACTTGCTTGGTGACCAGATATTGTTTTCGGAGCACAAACGAACGACCACAGTGTCTGTTGGGTCTCTCCCAATTTAACAATTGGTGTTGTATGTTTTAAATGTCCGTCAGGGATGGAGCAGGAGCGTGGGAGGATCCTTAAACTTGAGAAGCTTAGAAGTTATAAAGCTAGACGAATGTACGATCGTGGGGAATGAGTTGGCATTTATCGGCGAATCTTTTCTTGCGAAAACCTTGAAGGAGTTGAGCTTGAGCAAGTGCATCGGTGTTAACGATGAGGCAGTGTATGGCGTACTCAAGGGTTGTGCCAGGCTCGAGCGACTGGATCTGACATGCTGCCACTTCATTACGGACAGAACCATGTGCTTCATTGCAAACTTTTGCCGCCAGCTCCGCAGCTTGAAAATGGAGTCTTGCGGTTTGGTAACGGAGCAGGGTATATCTTTGATCGGTCAGCGCCTTTTTCTTCTCGAGGAGTTGAACCTCACGGACTGCGAGGTCAATGATCAATGTAGGTGCAAAAGGACTCGACGTGTGCGATCTGCTTCTGCTCATCTTTTTTCTTTTAGTTTGCTCAATCGAGGGATGATGGACCATAGATCCTTGGATTTTTCTCACCTGCTTCTATCTATGATTGCAGGTCTTGAAAAACTTGCAAATTGCACAGCTTTGAAGGTCTTGAAACTTGCCTATTGCACGGACATTACAGATGTTGGTCTGCAACACATTGGTTTAACATGCCGAGATCTGAGAGAGATCGATCTTTATCGGTATGTTTACATATGCGATTGTAACGCACCCGGTTGATCACTCAAATGTGAATGTTGCATCTTTGTGAAAGTTGTGTGATGTTCATTTTATAGTTTTACCTTGATGCTTCTGTAATCACCTTCTAAGTACATGTCCCTGTTTTGTGTGCAGTTCGTCCGACCTGGGCGACGCTTCAATTGAAGCCCTCGCAAACGGATGTCCAAACTTGTCTGTGATCAACATGTCCTATTGTTCGAGGATGACGGATGACAGCCTTATCTCTATCTCCAAGCTGCACGAGTTGACAACCCTGGAGATGAGATCTTTGATGAAAGTGACTTGCGATGGACTTAAAGTACTTGCCTCCGGATGTCGAAAACTGGAGAAGCTTGATATGAAACGTTGTCTTGCGGTCATGGACTGGGGCATCAAAGCTTTGGCCAAAAACTGCTTAAACCTCAATCATGTAAGCCACATATACTGAAGAGAGAACTTATTGCTTAGCGTGACTTTTTCGCCAATTCGTTGACGGAGCACATAATTTTATAACATTTTCCTGCTCTTCATGTATAGCTTATCTGATTATTTGGTGTCGGAATTGCAGATCTGCTTATCCTACTGCTGGATGATATCCGATGAAGGTCTCGAAGCCGTAGCCGCCTCAAAGAATATGCAAAACATGAGCCTACTACATCTCGACGAAGTCACTATCAGAGGATTGGAAGAAGCAGTTCTCAGCTGTGAGAACCTTCAAAAGGTCAAGATATCTGCTCATCTGCGAGAAAAGTTTTCTGAACAAACTATCGTGACACTAGTAGAACGAGGGTGCAGAATAAAGTGGTTAGAGAAGCCCACATTGGATCATTTACTGATGTACCCTAGTGTCTAAACGATGTGCGTTAGTCAGGAGGGAAGAGCAAAAAATCTTCTACTTCAGTACTTAAATGTATACAAAATCGATGCAATAGTTGTAGAGAACTCTTGTATGTACATAAATTTAATTGCCACTGAGGGCACGAATGAGGCGCTAGGATCTTTTAGTTTGTAGTTGGCGAAGAGATGCGATGAAGAAACTGATTGGACCCTTATTTCTGGGGTCTCCTTGGGAAGGTGAGAACCGTCTAGTTGTAGATATCGAATCAAGGCAATTGTCTTGTATAACTCACCATGGATCTCTGAGAAGATTGCTGTTGTCCTTCAACACTCCTTTTCCACGTCGCATCATGTAATGTGTTCAGGATGTCTATCCAAGCATAGTTCACTTAGTCTGACGCAGGTTCCCTTGAAATTGGGCCCACCTGTGCCAGAAGATGACCTTTTCGCTTGGGTTGAAACATCTGGCATTCTTTAAAGGCAAAATGTTTGTGTAATCACTATGCTTTCACGAAACTTGACTCTAAGCGGAAAGGTGGTTTTAATTTATCATCGCAAATGTGTAGTGACCCACGACTTAGTATCAATATCTGTCCTGCAGGGTTGTAACCCTCGTTGCAATTCATGCAACCCATATGCAGATACACCAGGGCGCAGTAATCATAATGTTATAGTGCGAACAAGCTGAGGATTTCGCTCCAATAAGCAGCATGTGGAAAGGCATGTACTGAAAGCAACTTAACAGCCAAGTACGTTGGGCCCACTGACCGGTTTGGAGTCATTGCGAGTATAGCACAGGAAGGGTCATGTGTTGTATACTACTTCAAAGGTTGCCATTTTTCTCCCCATACAAGCCGTCCAAATGCACTGTAGGTTTGTTGCACATGCTCGTGTATGCACTGTGTATTACCAGTAGCTTAACTCCAGTGACACTGAACAAGGAACTGTCTTTACCTTGTGTTCACATGCCATTCCATGTTGCATGCAAAGACCTAACCCAGTAAACCACGGTCCGACTGGACAACTCCTCAGAAACTCCCGGTTCCTGAAAAAGACTGGGTGCAGGCGATACTCCATGCAGGCTAAAGTACACTCCATGCTTGCAGATACTCCACGCCTGTCTCACAGGGATGCAGTTGTCTGGGGTGCTAATCGGTGGTGGTAGATGCACATAGATCCGGGAAAGCCCGACTGTAATGGGCCGCGAGATGGAGCACACATGCACAGCGCAACCTCGTCAGGTCAGACAAATCAGATCCCACCTCACGCAACCCCACCCCACATCCCCCTACTCAAAGAGTCGGTTCGGGAAGGCGGTTTCTGTGGTAGTAGCAGAGTGAGGATGAGTCCGGACAAGCCCTTACTTCACCATCGCTGGATCCGATCTAGTGCTGGTGGGAGTAAAACCTTCTGCCAGCTCTCCTCGTACCCTGTTCAGTACTTGCAAGTTTTTCCACAGCCCTTGGACTACGGAAGTAGATCGTCCGTCTTTCCACGTCCTTTTTTGGGGCAAGTGCATGAACCTCAGTCAAGTTCTGGAATGGGGGTAACACCTCGACTAGAAACATCCGCCACCAGAACTTGAGAGGGTGGAAGAAATGATCGACTGTCTCTGACTCATTGCAATACAGTACGAGCCGAAGTTACTGCTCGCATTGGAATCGGGCTCTGTCTGTGTTCCATCGTGGTTCCGAGGTGAAACCGTTAAATACTCTCGTCTCGTCTCGTCCCTCTTGGGAAGCTCGAATGCCTATCTCTTGTTTGTACTGTACTTTTGTGAAAGGTGAAAAGGCGGGTAGTCGTTTTACCGAGAGTATACGAGCCCTCCTTCGCGCCTGCCGGCTTCTAAAGGTACCCTCGTCCCTCGTCAGTACCTGCACTTTTATCTTTTGCCTGTGACGTTTGATACTGGACATGTTTCTCTCGTTGCAGACGAGCAGGCCACCACCTCTCAAACAAATATCTAACGTCCAGAACGCATTCGGTCATAAAGCTTACTAGATGATCGTGCTCGAGAGGTTGTATCTTCTCGGCAAGTGTACGCCCTAGATAGCTTTGCTGTGCGCAGATGTGGAATACGTCATACTGCTGCACTGTATGAAAATTCCAGCTTTTCGGACTCACTTTGATCATGTTTTCATGTGGTCTCGAGGCTGAAGTTGAATCGCACTAGGAAATTATTCATTCTACAATGCAATTTTGGGTAAAACATCATGTGCAGAAACGACCAAGGGGAAAAAAAGAACGAGGAACAATCGAAGAGAAGACGAGTTACGCACAAAGCCTCAAAGACTGAGTAGATTAGTTTTGATAGTGGGGAAAATGGTGCTCTACCAGTACAATAATCAACTGTCCTTCTCTTCTGTCGTTTGGTCTTTCGGGTCGGGTTTTTCATGCCTTTTGTTTCGTTTACATTATATTTTCCTTGTGAGTTTCTAAGTATCTTCTATGCGTAGGATTCCCACGTCCGTGACAAGTATATAAAAGTTTGGCTGCAATTTCGTAACAAGTAGAGCGGAGATGCATGTGTAGATGTAGTTGGATGAATTGATGGATTTGATTCAACCGTGTAGGAAAATAATACCAAACACTAATATAGGTAAATATAGGTATTTAAATACTTATGTTATGTTAGTTTTGTTGTCTCATTTTCACATTACAGAAATGAATATCAAGACTTTTGAAAGAAATATAATTGATAGAATTTAAATCAAATTCAATTTTTCTTTAACATAATGAAGTGATTAACATAATTAGAGAAAAGAATAGATAAAATTCCAATTCTTAATTTCAAAAACTTAATTGCCAATATATCTTACTCAAACTCTATTTCATAACTTTTAGCCACACCACAATCTCAACAGAATTACCCTCTTTTTTTGATGCACATATATAAATTTATCAAAACGTACAATACTATCATTAGTAACATTATAATGGAGAAACTGTTCTACAGATCCACATGTACCACAATGAATTTTTTCAATCTCAAAAGGTCTAACAAAACCTCACGTTCATCATTACACCATAAAAAATATAAGTGTACAGAAAATCAAAGATTCCAAATTTTTTATATTTGCTACTTTTCATCATAGCCACAGTCACTAAATTTTAACATCAAAAATTGAAACCTCATAAACTCTAATTTAAAGTCTATCAAAGTCAATAATGCTATTATATAGCTCAAAGATAGACTTTAAATTAGAGCTTATGAGGTTGAGCTATAGATTATAGCATTATCGACTTTAGCATCAATTCCACTGCAAATAATTCTAAATGCATTACCTACTCTAACAATTATATCCGCTGTTGCACGCAAATATCTACTTACTAAAGAGAGATATGTGTCACACATAACATATTGCTTATAGGTTGTCATAACAAGGTTGTCATAAACTACATGCGTTGTGCATATTATTTATTTATAAACATTTAAATCATTTTTTTGTTTGCTTCACAACATATATATTGTTAAAATAATAAGAATATATCCAAATAAAATTTTGCACTTCAAATATTTGCAACAAAATTTTGTTCATGTAAGTAACTTGAAACACATACAATAATCAAATGAAACTTATAAAAATCCAAAATTCGCTCTTCATAAAAATGACAATATGAAAATGTCAACTTAATTATCTGCATCTCACAAATTTTTCAATAAAATTTGAGTAACTTTTTCAAAAAAACAAACTAGTATTTTAGTTCCAGGCCTCTTGAGAATAACAACAAGTCTATCTTCAATTCTAGTGCAAACAACCGTTATCTTCAAGTTTAATGAAAATTATCATATTTTTGCATGCAATTATATCATACTTATGTATATACATATCATAAATATGATAATATTTACAATAAAATATCTAGTTTTTGTTTCATAATTGTTTAGAATTTTTAAAAATCCATTATAATTAAGTTCTTACATGCATCTCATTTTGTCAACATAACTTCATTTTTAGAAAAAAAAATTAGAACCTATTATATTATTGATCTAATATGTATCAAATTAAAAATATTCACTGAGATATATATTTATTGAGATTTATCATTATGTGATTAGTGATGTCACACAAACAAAAACTTCATTACAAGTGGAGCAAATTCCTATAGAGAAAAAATTGAAGTAATAGATTTTTGTCTATTAGAGTCAACTATGTGCAATATATGATAAAGATAAACTAAAAGCGTGTATAAAAAGAACACTGAATTGGATTATTGAAAGTTTTATGAGATATGGATTATAGATTGATTCATCCATTCTTGAAAGTCATGATACTAAAGTTGATGATGACATTGCGTTGATCTTATTTAAAAAAGAATTAATTTTTTATAGAATTCCTCGAATCTCTTTAATAATCTTGAGTGAATACTATTACAAAGCATAAGATGCAATTATTTATGGTAAACAAGACATAACAACTACTAATGCTTTTAAGAAATCAAATTTTGATTCTTAGCAAGTGAGTGTGCAATATGAAGTAAAATCCTGTAATGATGAGAGTATATTTTTCATAATCGGCTTGAAGTTTAGAAGTGTCACCAATTATAAAGTTGTAAAATAAAACAAAATTTACCACACTTTAGCAAAATATGCTACAATTTGACAAGTATTTAGGAATTTGACAAGTATGTGCACTTGCTGCAATATTTAATATTATTATGAATCAGATAGACATATTTTTATTGTTAATACTAGCTCAAGTTTTGGATTCTATCAAATTAACCTAATTCGTTATAGAGTTAGAATTAGATTTTCTCTAGTTTGAATTGGAGCTAGAATTGTTGCAACCATATATATATATATATATGTATATGTATATAGCAACAAAACATAACTCGTATTGAAAATCTTGCAGGTTTTTTAGTAAAAACCTTAATGATTCCTTGAATGCAATCTAAAAATGGCAAACTGCGTATTGATCTTGTCGATGTTGTTTTTTTGTTTGTGATTATTGTGGATTATTATATTTTCTTCAACAATTACATTTTTTTATTAATATCTTAAATATATATATATATATATATATATATATTGTTGAAATCATAATACAGATTGAAGAAAATTATTAGATAGTAAAATCACATTTGATGAGTTCATGAAAGCACAAAAATTTTTATGGATAGTGTATGATACATATTTATACATGAAGGATGAATAATAAAATCTTTAACTTCATTATTTTATTACTTTAAGTGAATGACATATTTCTTTGGAAAAAAATTTATATGACATCAATAAGTGCAATTATCAATTAAATCAATTATTAGTTGAATCAATTAAAGTTTGATGAAGTCTTTTGTCAAGTTCAAGAGATTATTAGCAATGAATATTTATAGAAATGTAGATAAAAAAACATCATGATGTAGTCAAGCCAATTATGTGTGTTTGAAAAATATAACATTGTAAAATTTAAAGAAGTATAATTTTTGTTGGCAACACATTTCAAAATTTTTGCAGCTCAATGTACAATTAATGTCATTAAAAGTGAAAAATATCATCAATTTTTTATGACAAAGCTGTTATATTTCTCATTTATTTAATGATATGCAAATATTTGATATTATTATAGTTATGAACAATGTGAGCAGATACATGTCAAATTTGGAGAAGTTATATTAAGTAACAGTAAAATGAATTTTCAACTAGCTGTAAAATATTAAGGATTATTATTATTTTTTGATGAGTTATTAGACAATGTCAAATTTTTGTTATGCTACGTTGATGTTGACTTTGCACAAGATGTGGACAAGGAAAAATCTACAAATGATAACATGTTTATACTTAGTGGTAAAAGCATAAGTTGAAGATCTATCTTACCAAAATTCATAGCTCAGTTCACAATGAATGTTAAATGTATAATGACAACAAAGAAAGTTATGTGATTGAATGAATTTATCATTCAAATGAGATTGAAACATGAAATTGTCAATATTAAATGTGATAGTTAACGTTTGTTACATCTTAGTGTAAATCAAATGATGGAGAACAAAATGAAACACATCATATCTGATATTATTTTATGATGTTTTAGAAATTTTTTTAACAAATCAAGATTGAAAATAAATTCAATCCAACTAGTGTGTTGATCAAAATTGATCTTTTAAAAAGTTTTAGTGTAGATTTAGACTATGTTGGTTTTGTATGAGTAGCATAAGTAAAGTTTGCTGGCATATTGTATTACCTTTCTATATATATTTATTTATCTATTTATCATATTTGACTATGGCTTATGTCTAATTAGCTCTAGTTTAAAAAGAAACATATGTTAGACTTCTATCTAGATTTTTTTTAAAGAGTTTTAATATAGGTTATGAAAAACTCTTTAAAACTGCCAAGCTATATATACTTCATATGAAGAACTCTTTTTTCACAATATGAAGTAAACTAAGGAGGATTAGTTTTAATTCAAATATAAGATGAATTTTAGTGAGCTTAACTTTACTTAGTATCAGATTCGGGATTTTTGCTGCAAGCTATGAAGTAAGGCGAATCATATTTTGAACATTTCAGCAGATTCTTCTTCTCCTTGTGAATGTAGCTTGGCAGTGGCGTACCGCGTACATGTAGAAGACATCATATGCTTGAGTATTTATATTCATTTATGAATTTTATTTTTTTATTCAAAAAAATTGATGATAAAGTGCTTGTACATAAAGTGTGTTAAACAAGTATGAAAATTGTTTTCAAAATGATTTTTCTGAAAATACAAATAATCCATTGTGTGATATTTTAAAAAATAAAGTTTTCAACATATGAAATCAAAATTTCAATTAAAAAGTCATCAAATTGTCAAAATAAGCTTATTAAATTTATTTTTTGAATATTAATAAAAAATGATAATAAATATTGATTAATCAACTTTTAACATGGCGATGACAAAAATATAAAATAGTATCATAGAATAATTTTTTGATGCATATGCAGTTTTTTCTTGCTTAGATTGAAAAAAATATAAAAAATAAAAAGATATAATAATATTCAAAAAATTTCATCAATCAATACCGAAATTTAAAAAATATATATTTTATCAAAGTATAGAATAAAATATAGATCAGAGATGACAATTTGACTGATTAGACTAGCGTTACAAGATTTTTGATAGATCCAATTTTATTGTTAAAATTTTTATCCATGTACTTTGTGTAGGGCTAAAATTTAACTTGATTAAATTAGTTTTGAAAGATGTTAAATTTTTAAATATTGATATTTTATTATAATAAATAAATCAATATTCAGTCATATGATTGAATATTGATTTTGATTATGCACTTTTAATGATTACATTATTACTAAATTTTATTAATTTTATTGCAAAATAAAAAAATCTATACCGTATTTTTTGTGATAAATTTGAGTTTTAACTTGATACATTAAATTTTAAGAAAAGTTAATTGTGTTTGTCAAAAGTTGCTACAAGAATATAATTGCAAGGCATAAGTTGATAATCAAACTTTGAACATGCAATTAAAGTGATTATAAAATAAACCTAGATTTTTTTATTGATCAAATTTGACCGTCAAAAAATTTAGAACATGTTCATTTGTTGGCTCAAAATGATGATAATATTGTCTTTATTTTAAATGCAAATTAGTTGCTGGAAGTTGGTACATCATATTTTATCACAAAAAAATTAATACATCAATGACTTCTTTTAATACATCTTCTCAATATAAATCTAATCTACAAAGTTTAAATGTGAAAAGATTGTTGTGTGAAGTTTGAGATTGGTCAAAAAATCAGTTTAGATTTTGTATACAATCGTATGTACATAGATTTGCAAATAATTTCATGATATAGTAATTATTTGAAGAATTGTTTGCAAATGATGAAAAATTAGAAATGAGATTAACTTTTGAAATAAATTTAGTTTCAATTAAAATTTTACCAAATCTGAAGAATCTAATTTTTAATTGTTATAGACTTTAAAAAATCATTGTAGAGTATGTCAAGCACATATATTCACTAGCTCAAATTTTGCTGGAATCATGTGTGTTTTGTTGAACATCACTCATCTTGCACAAATTTGGAAGTATTTTTTGAAACTACAAAAACACAAGTTTTTTGTTTAACTCATACCAATTTTGTAGAGTCTCTCATCATCTTGTTTGGATTTGTTTTGAAAAAATCAAATATATTTTAAAGACAAGAATTCAAGCATGGTTTAAAATTACTTTTTTGTAAATTTTGAGATTTTGATCAAGATGAAGTTAATTAAGCTCATCTGAATTTAAAAATGTGTTGCAACATGAAAATTCTCCAACAAGTAGTTTTAGAGAGTATGTTCACTAGAGGATGTTGCAAGCAAGCTCATTTTGAAGTACTGAATCCATAGATTGCTATATCTAGTCAAGGGAGATAGTGATTCTACATAAATACTTCAACTTTTGTAGATTAAAAGCTGATTATGCTATGCCAACCGCTCCAAACACAAGAACAATGAAGTTCGGATTTCAATTGTTCATTTGAGTACTTTGAAGCGTTTGGTTGGACAAGAACTACTCTAGTTGCTGGATGAAGATTTTGCATAATGAAATTGAGAGAAGATTCCAGTAGTACAATTCATCATGATGTTAGGATGATGAGCATGTGAATCTGGCAAGCATTCTAGGGTTGAATGACAACTTGAAATACATTTATCTCCTATATGCCGGAGCGTTTGGAAAAATTCTACAGACCACAACAAGTCAAATGACTTTCCTTCATGATCAAGTGTACGGAAACTGAATACAAAATCTTTTGACTCATCAAACAATTATCATCAGTTGCAACAAGTTTTATCATATTAATCTAGGGACAAATTCAACTAGACATAGGTATATTTATGTAAGCATCAGAAATTTCTATTTCACACTATGGGATTAATGTTAACTCATTTAGTCATTACCATTTAATGAAATTATTATGCATGAGTTTTATCGTAACGTTGAACAATCAAAATTTTAATTGTGATGATCCTAAGTTACATTTGAATTTTTCCTTTTTAGAGGATGTGCATCAATCAGGATTCTTTCTCGAAATATCTTCAAGTGCAGGACATGCTCAACAATGGATCTCTTTATCAATCAACGGTTCAATATTTAAATTTTCAGTAGAGTGACTAACAATTCAAGATGGGATTCGAATCAATGAACATGTTGAGACATTAAGGAAAGAGGAAACATGAGTTACGAATTCTATTGCCGTTGGCAACGTGAATAAGAGGTGATTACATAACGGTCACAACCCTCACGTAGATCTCAGATGTATTGCCATGGGTCTCAGGTTGCATCTCTTTTTCCTATTTGAGTTCAGATGGATACATCAGGAAAGACACATCTGTTATTCCGGTAATGGCGTGCTAAATTACGTAAATGTTTGTCAAATCAGCAATGTGCATGGATCCCGTCCTTGATTGAAAAGCACAAAACGTGAACGTATAAAACCTGTACATGGACATGATCAATCGTGGTTTATTATTGTAATCCAAGAACTAAATTAAAAATCACCACAACCTTTGAAGTCACAGTTCCTTATGATAACTGACCTTCTGACATTGAAATCACTGTCACAGAAAGACAAATCTGTTACGACGGATAATTTAAAAATTTGAATCAAACTTCGGACCGTTTGTAAATAACTTAAAACACTATCATCTTGAACGAAACCCCATCCAGAGCAACTAGTCTGAGTTCAAAGAACCTCCATTCCTTAGATGTGGCATTCAGTGAGGAAAGAAGCTTGACATAGGAGAAAATATATGGCAGTAAAGAAAATTCCTCTTTTCATATGTTCATACGATTACAGAGGTATGAAGATATAAAACGTAAGCTAAGATGTTGTCTGACCTGCTGCAAGAGAAAAGTAATCTACTCACCGTCGCCAATGCGATAGTTTCCTCACTCAATGAACAAAATTTACATTGTCGATCGTTAAATGAGCTGATAATGAATTGTGGATATCAAATCCTCTACTTTACATGGGGGCTGAGAGGCGGGGTGCTGCCACTCAAATACACCCCTGATGTGCTGATGCCTTCTATCTTACATATCCATCAGCCATGCTGCTGCTATTGTTGTTGATGTCCTTGAGTTTTGAGTAATCTTGAATAAACAAGACTATATCCTACATTTACTTGACCAGGAAGGCCGACTGGGAATTGGTCCGAACAAAATTAAATGATGTAGAGGGATTATATTCATGAAATTTATACTACACGTCCAAACTACATCTCAAAACCTTGGGGGTGATGCAGACCAGATTCGAGAGAACTGCGAACAATATCCGGTGGAATTTCTTCAAGATTGATTCCTTTCTCAAGATCATCAAAGTGGGTAAAGAAGGACGATCCAGAAGTTAACCAATCGTAGTTCAATTCTCCTGGCTTTGCCAGTTTTTGCCTAAAAAAGTCGAAAGCCATATTTTCATGTGTCAGTATGGTACACAGTATAAGCAGTCTGCGAATCACAGCGATGAAAGATCACGATGTATTAAAACAAGGCGATTCCCACAATACATTAAGCCTTACCATTCTTGATCGGCTATCATTTCTTCTGTCATACCAAACGCTCTCAGCTCGTCATGCGTATGGTGCATGCTCAAGCTATACCTGGTAGATTTCAAAGAGGATTGTCAGCACATTCAGACATCTTCGGCATCTATGTTTCTGCTTTGGTGGGAGCTGTAATCAGTGGCAAAATTCATTATAATATAAACCATTACCTGCCTCCAGGGCCGAGCTCCATGACCATCATACCAGTATTTCCGAAGTTCCACAAGCCTTCGAACTGTTGGACAGTCCACTTGTACCATCTCATTAAAAAGACGCGTAGTGTCAAACCATGAGATACTAGAACAAGGTTCATGTTCTTCACCCTTGCTTCAGGGCGTTGGAATCTACCGACATCTATATCGGCTCGTAGAGTTTCTCTGAAACCTGCATTCAAGTCAGTCTAGACGTTAGCTACCATTCCAGTTCAAAGTTGAGTCAATGCTTTCGGCAACATTTTGAACTTTCGATACATCAGATGGGCTTATAGAACATGATACCAAATAAAAAGAGAGAAAGTGGATCCAGAAGAACGAAAAGTGTTCCATATAGCATCAGTACAGATCTCTATGTTGACAGTGGGAAACCTACGAGATAACTTCCAAAAATTTTCAAAGCTCGTGATAACACCTGTACATAAACGAACGATTCAGGACTAAGCTAAAAAAATTAAATAAAAAAAAATCTCAGAATGAGAGGGATTTGGGTGTGAACCAGGAACGGAAGAGCTTGAATCAGCAGTTGTAATGAAAGACTGGGACTTCACAGAGCTTCTTGAGATTGCTATGAATTCATACAGGACAAGAGCCTCACCTGTTATTCTGTCATACACATCTGCTGCAGATTCACCATTAGGAAAGCGGTAGAAAAATCGTCCATATCTTAATCGTACAGCTTTCTCCACCCGCATTTTTTCTCTATCCTGAAAATTACCTGCCAAACAACTCCAAACCCAGTCACACTCAAAAGCACTCGAAGACCTTGTCACATAAGTTCATGAAATTTCACTTCTTCCACCTTTTGTGTCCCTTCATTATATTTAAACTGACTGCAGTACTCCACTCCGTCGAAAGATTGGCAGAACGCTCGAAATTTTATACCCATATTCACTTTACGTATTCAATTGGGGACATCCGATAGCCCTTATGTTCGACCCACTTTGTCCCCAGCAACAAATCTCCTCTTGAATTGTCTCCTTCTGTGAAGCGACAACACAAAAAGGAAATTGCCACCTGAAGGACACATTCATCGTGCACTTCCATCAGCGATTTGAGCGAAAGCTTTTTGTGATGTTCCAACCGATCCCCAGCGCAGTGACTCCAGAACCCTCATCATACGCGTGTCAAGGTCAAGTCAAGGTCTTGAATCCGTCATCGGAAGTGATTAAAAGCTCGTCAAAATCCATCATCAGCGACTTTCATCCACCAAACCAATGCTTTCCAAACTTCAAGTAACAAACCCCAGGAGCAGTATGTCAAGGAGGAGAAGAGGAAACAAACCCTACCAAAGTCCTGTTCTCGAAGACGAGGCTCCTCTCGAACTCCGGCAATTCTTTCTCGTTCAAAGGCCAGTCCGATGCCCCGCAGAGTTTGGAGTGTACGTTTATAAGGGGAGACATAAAAATAAACCTTCCAATCGTCTCCTTCATCACTCTCTATCATCGTCCGCATCTTCTTCCCACAGGAGATGGCCTGATTCCAACCTTCTTCTGTCAAAGCAATCTTCGAATCGGGGATTCTCGTGTAGGCGCTCTCATCCACGTTCCCTTCACTTTGGCCATGCCTGACGAGAATGATCCTCTTGGGCCGCAAAGAATAAGCGAGAGAAGACAGGCTGTCAGCAGAGGTATGAGGATCCTGCTCTTGGTCGCCGTTCACCTGAGGCTGGGGAAGAACAGGATGATTCAAGTATTTGCTACTACCATTGACAAAAGGAATGTCCATGCTCGCCTTGCTGCGCACCTTGCCGCGCCAATTCTCCGAAGGGATGGAGTAAGATTGAAATTGCTTGTGATCTTGTGATGTCTCCCCGCAGTAGGATTCAGCTGCCGCCCTCCAGCAAGAAGAAGAAGAGGAAGAAGACCATCTCCTCCTACTCCCAAAATGCACTCTCACTACCGCAACCTTCCTGCCCTGTTGCCAGCACTTCCCTAACCCTCTGCCATGGCATACATGTGGATTTCCAATTTCCTGACTCAGAGGCAGCTTCCTCAGCAAAACTTGCCCATCGGCCATATCCCTTCTCCTCCTCCTCCTCCTCCTCCTGACTTTCGTCCTCCTCCAACTTCTCTCCCCTTACCTTCCTCTCACCTTCCCCGCTTGACAAACTTCCGTCCTTCGATCGATCAATCAATCAATCTCTATTCGCAGTCATTGCGGCGTTGCATTCCATTGGCACGCAAAACAACTACAGAGTGGCGTTCGCGCAGATTTCCAGCCATTTAAAAAACATCACCAAGGCCGTTCTCCAGCTTCTGTGGGGTATGGAGCTGGGGCTCAAAAGTCACGGCACCATTCGCCACTAGACCCTCGGCTCCACCGCAGCGGCGCAAGACGAGCACGTGGTTGGTTCCACGGTCCAAAGCTCCGAGACCTCCTCCGGGCCAAGCCAATGGGAGCTCGCACAATGATTCTCAGAGAGATGTTGCGGATGCTCGAATCAAAGTCCTCAAACGCGGGGTGCAGCTTCCTTCTCCTCCGACATTGACGTGGGCTATGGTGAGTCCCGCTCGCTTCATGTCTTCTATTTTACATCAGCCTCGGACTCGGCAGCCCACGCCATCCCTTGAAAATCTGCAACGGCAGCCCTCATTCCCAGACATCTCTACCCTCCGACTTTTTATTCTGCTCTACGTTTCTACTCAAGGGCCTTTTTCGGCGTCCCGCATGTGCACCGGCTCGCACTTCGGTCGGTGCTGCTCTTCTCCCATTGGTGCTCGCCTCCCTTCACATCCTCCCTTTTGTTTCCCAGAGTTGCCTTCGTCAGGTAGCGCAGGAGGGCTCCGCCTTTGTTGCGGAGGTGGGGCCGTGGGCCCCAGAGAAAAAGAGAAGCACCAGATTGTGGAAGGAGCCGCCACTTGGCTGGCAATGTGCCAAGCTCTGAAGCAGGCCCACAATCCGGCCTATGGGCGCAAAGAGACAAAGCTACCCGCGGGAGCAGGATTCCTGGGCCGAGCAAGTCTGTAAAGGACATCACCGTAAGCTACGTGACTGATGAGGAAAATGATCGACATGTCTTCTTGTCCCTGGAAATCCCCCCAACTTTTCCTGCCCTTCTCCTCTAGTGGGCACTTTCCGGGGTTTAGACCCTGAGCCTCTCCCTAGATTGGTCACCTCCAACGCCCAAACGCCTCGGAGGCACTATCGCCAAAGTGAAAGACATTGTTGTTTAGCAGTGGCTTCGATATGCGCTACCGACATGCTATTCTGCTCTATCGGAAGCACTTCATTCTAACATAGCGTGAGATTTAGGGGTCTTTATCGAGTCTACCGTACCGTAAAGAAAGCAACTAGAGTTCTGGCGAGGGTCAAGCTGGGTTATGGTGGGGACTTCGGAAAGGGGTGTCTTGTTTGGGGGTCTTGGGTGTTTGCAATGATACGGTGTTATGCTCTTGCCCGCCATTTTTTCCTGATCTGAACAGTATAGGAGAGAACTAATTGATTGTTTCGCGCTGAAGTCTTGCCCAGTCCCGTGTGTTGGTCGTCTGGGGTTGGTGGCATGGAATTGGATGGGGGCCTGGGATTGTGTATCCCTCACTCTGCGTCAAAGAGGAAGGATTTGAGGGTGCATTTTCTCACGTATGGGTGGTGATGAAACAGACTCGTTTCTCTGTTGTCCCTCCGAGGGTCGACTTTTCGCGAGTTTGGGCAAGCAGACGGAACGAGGCGGAAGTGGAATGTGGATGGTATGATTTTTGGAGCAACAGAATGGCAGGAAATGACGACTAGAGATGGTGTCGTGGTCAATGTACTAGGGTTGTTCGTTGGTAGCTTATGGGCTCGTTGAGCAAAAGATGGGAAAAGGAAGCGGGGCCTGGAACATGGATTGAAAGAAGCAGTGGCAGTGATATTGTGACGTAACGAAGAATCCCTCTGTCCTTCTTCTTCCTGTGGCAAATGCCGCTGCGCTCAGCGGGTGCTAGTGCAGTCCGGAAAGAGTCTTCTCGATGGAAGTTGTGGGCAAGGAGGTTGCAGGCAACGATATGAACATCTGCTTCCAGTGTGGACTTGTTTGCGAGAACAGCGTGTCGTACTGTCACAGTTGTTACGAGCAACGCTCTGAGAGCGATTTCCGGAACGAGCAGAGGTGGAGAAATGCGGAAAGTGATTTACAGGTCGTAGAGGCAAATCTGCAGAAAGAAAGGTCCCTCACTCAGAGACTTGAGGCCACACTCGCCTCGTACCGGGAAATGCTTCTGCAAGGAATTCATGCTGACGTTACCATCGAAACTGGAGACACCGATAAAACTCCTGCACATCGCGCTATTTTGGTGAGAGTCCTCTCTTCCCTACATCAAAATACGGAAGCACGTCAGGACTGATTTCGCTCAGTTCGTCCTCCTAACCGGGACCCAATCATCAATTCAGATGGTGTGCACTTTTTCGGCAAGAAAAAGCTTTGAACTTTGTAAGTTTTCCACGATACACGTTTGGACTTCAGGAAGTGGCCGATCTGATTCTGAGCTGGATGCCTTGGTCTTCATATGATATAGTTCCAAGTAATAAGATCGATTGTCCATCGCACTTTTTTTTCTTAAAATTGAACCATCAGTGGGAGCATGCAGTGATTAATTACAAGTTGGTTATTATACTTACAGAAAAGTGTGGAGTCACAACCTGCTCTTGAGATCTCATCCTCTTTTCAGTTCGGTGCACGATACGATGGTTTCTCATTAGTATCTATTATTTTTTAGTCTTTGAGGTTTGTATGTTGCTTCATTCAACTCAATCTGATGCTTTTATTTCCGTGGAGATACGTCAAGCTTTCACATATAGAAGGCGATGCGTCAGGCTTTTCGTTAGAAGTTTTCCCAAAATTAATTCCTCCTGTTCCCTCCACATCCCGGAAATTGAACTTCATCACCTGCTCAGTTCGAGTCTCAGAACCCTTTACATAGCATCTGCATGTCTAATTCATATTTGGCAATGATTTTTTAAGTACCTCAGGATTTGTTTCGCAGTTTTTATTTATCAGTTGTGTTTGTGCACCCATTGTCCTGGATTCTCTGATCACTTTGAGGAAGGCATCACCTACAGACCCTCCAGAACTTTTCGTTCCCGTTTGATCGCTGTAGACTGCATTTTACGTCAATAAAGCCTGACCTTCAGAACCAGTCTGACTATCGCTGTCTTAATAACATGTTTGTAGGCAACCTGTACTTAAACGTCCCTAGCGTCTTTGTGGACGTGGAACTTCAGTCTGTCTTTTGAGTTATGTATTTCGCACATTGTAATAGTATGTATGGATAATTTGGTGAGCAACTGTCTCTTACTTACATGTGCTGAATCTTTATTAAGCAAGTTGAGTGTTTCTTTTCTCACCTTAATTGCAATCGATCCATATGCATGGTCGTCTTCGGCTCTACACTTGTTTCGTTTGTGGTCTGGTTGTACTTCCGGCAGTGTCTTGAATCCCGTGACTGCTGCTCCCATTAACGATCTCCATCTTGCAGAGGTGGATGAGCTCGAGGCTTCCTTATTTTCTTGTCAATCTTTTGGACCAACCAACTATATGCAGGTCTTGTGGAAAATTATAAAGAACCCGTCTTTTTTGACCGAGATGGCTTAGAAAATGATGATTGAGACGTACATTACCATCGAGTTGAGTTTGGTAATTGTCGCATTAGATGCAATTCTTATCCATTACTTTAATAGCATATCTGTGTCCTTCTTGTCTTAACTTCCTGCATAAGAATCAAGCGAAACACTAACCTTCCTTTTGTATAATTTTGTGGTGTAACTGTTTGTGGTGTAAATTTCTACATTTGTTCTGCTGTATTTGTCGTGGCCACTGGAAGTCGGTACTGGCTCTACCACCCAGCTACTTCGACGTCACCATGAGCTATGTCGAAGTCATGGTGTTTTTATTTAGTATTGGATCAATCTGATCTCTCATCTTTGTATTAGGTAAAGAATAATTTGCATCAATTCTCCATGCAGTATCGATTTTAGTTCTTCCGATTTGTCAATGTAACCAAATGTGTTCTCTCTGCACGATAGGTCATGCCTACAAGAGTAATCCAAACACAATATTATTGACCATAAACGGGATGGAGAATTATTTAGTTGCAAACAGATCATGTTTTGTGGGATGGAGAATTATTTAGTTGCAAACAGATCATGTTTTGTAGAATTTTGCTTGAAGACTTATGGAAGCACCGTCGTCGTTTGCAGGCAAGCAGGTCTCCTGTGTTCAAAGCGATGTTTGAACATGAGCTGAAAGAGAAGACATGCGCTGTAATTCGTGTTGCAGATGTACCAACCCCAGCCATGCGTGCTCTTTTGTTGTATATTTATACTGGTATATATACTTTCATTCTCACCTACATTCTCATTCACGCGGGGTACTCTAGCTTAGAACGAGCTTCACCTTTTTTTTCTTATTCTTGTTGTATCTGTCTGCAAAGAGATATACTGGAGAATTGCCGCCGTCGGTCTCATAGCCTCCTTATGGGCTTTGTCGACCTTCAAGTTTTTTCCAAACCTTAGCTTTATAGGTTGGTCCTGTGCGATACTTTACAGCTAAGTTAAAAAATGGATTTATAAAAATTAGCGGTTCAAAAATTTTCTTTTTCTTTGCTAGGAAAAATATCACTAGAAATGTTCCCTACAATGACATTGTATTGATGGGAACTTGAATTTTCCGTGCTCCAGGGGATCATGATACGAAGGCACTGCAAGAGCATGGTATGGCTCTCCTTGCAGCTGCTCACAAATATGACATTCCGGATCTCAAAAGAGTTTGTGAAACTGCCGTTGCAAGTATGGTTCTACCTTTCAATGCATTGGAAACATTACATCAGGCACGATTGTACGATGCCAACTGGGTAAAAAAGGCATGTGTCGAGTGCATCGCTCGCAATGTGAAGCAGGTGGCTTTCACAGACGAGCTTCGTAGCCTTATATACCGCAACGAAGATCCAGAAGCAGTTTTGGAAATCATACAGAGCATTGCAAGCGGGCACTAGCTTCGTCGCTCTTCGTCCGTTTCAGTGTACGGTTGTTGGAGTCGCATAGGAATACAACACAGTCCCCTTTTGCTCATCATGCAAGGGCGATGCATTCTGTACCATACTTCTGAGTGGAAAATCGATGTTGAAAGCCACCAATTTGCCTAAGAAAAATGAATGACATCCATTCTCTTAGTAGAAAGAGATTGTCTTCTGGATCTTCTGGATTTTTTAAAGAGGTTCTCCCTGTTTTAATCAGGAGTTCACTTCTCTCTTGACTGAGTACTGGAACTCTTCCACTTTGAGTTTTGTATGTAGTATTGAGGTATAGGGAGGGCCAGAGCGCATATAGCCTGATGTTGAGCTGACTCAGGCAAATTTATGTGAGAAGGAGAAACACCTTTTCTGCCCAGACATCAGCCTTTTGTCGAAGACAGTTGTAATGACGCTGAATCTGAGCATTAAGAATGAAAGCAACAAATGCGTGGAAAGCCGTCGGCGGTATCCTGTCTGCGTCATACGATTTATTCCGCAAAACTGTATTTTTCTTCAAATTAAAGTTGAACTTGAAATGATTTTCTTTTATATCTACGAGTTGGTGAAGCCAGATGAGTGAAACAATTGGCAATAAATGATAGAAGCGAGTGTGTGGAAATTCTCACGCTGGCTGGTGGTAACATTCTTGACGAAGCTATATCTTTCTCTTTTGTGAAGGTAGAAGTTGACAGAGTCTCTGTTTAAAAATAAATAGTACTTAACTGGCAGACCCTAATGTGTAACTACGAATTGTACATGATAACTTCTTTGCCTGTATTTTAAACGAAAATTAAGTGCAGGTGTTTGCCTCGCATACACATTTAGTAGTACACATCATACAGGCAGTCTCCTTCAAGATGAAGGTTTCCTCCTAAAGTGAGTTGCGATATCTGCTCGCTCTCTGTTGTCATTCTGCACTTTGTTATCATGCTACCATAGATAGGCCACATTTCGATTCCTGTATGGAAAGCATTTCTCTGAAGGTAATTTATTAACGTTCAGGACTAGAGTAGAGTTGGTTTCTATTTTGGCCTCTAATCAGCATACGATGACGTGAAGATTTATTAATGTGCATTTTGGGTCGCGAACTATTTCGGCTGGGCTGATTTCGGAATGATTTTTGCACACAAGTTTGGTTTGTTCTACAATTTCACGGACTCTTTTGGACTACTTCTTGGACCATCTCCACCTCTCGATCTATGGGTTTGTGCTTATCCCGATATGGTGCTTTGTCTGTGGACTCTGAGAAACACGACACAATCAGGTGACACAAATGGGGACGCTGACTTTCCTTTGCGTGACCAAGAAGGGCTTTACGATGGGTGTTGTTACTGAGACGCAGCATCTCGTTGATATATCTCGTGTTTCCTACCTCTAAATTCTGGCACTTCTGTCACGTACAGTATACAGTATACCAGTATTGGGGAAGTATGGAAAATTGCCATTCTGGAGGTGCTAATCTCTTCGTCACGTCGTCCTTGAGGTGCGGCACACGTTCATGACAAGGTTACTTGATCCTACGCAACCGCTCATTGCAAGCCTAAGGTTTATCGAGACGGTCTTCAACTGGACCATATGTCGGTCTTGTCACAAGACTTGTCCTTTCTCTGTGAGAAACTTCTTCTTGTCGCCTCTGCTGTCACCATTGTTGTCAGTCGCTCGGTGCTGTGTCGCGGCCGAAAGGCGTCTGCGTTCGGGAAAGTGTGCAGGCCCTGCACTCATTGCACTGAAGGTATTTACTCTTACGAAGAGTTTTTAGAACAAAGAGTACTCTCAAGGATCGCACATATGACAATATTTCTAATAGGTACCGAACTATCAAGAATCAGTTCCTGATCCACAATTCACAAAGATTCTTCACTTGTACCTTTTTGTTTGTGGGTCGCGGCCACTAAAGCTCGGTGAAATGCCTCATGACATCGTGAACTTGTACTTTTCTTTCTCAGCGCCCGTCGGTTTAGTCCTAAACCAGGCTGATTTTTAATATTCGGTACTTATTAGAAATATTCTCATATGTGCGTGTCCGAGTCTATCTTCCGAGAAACAGGAGAACGTTGTTTTTGCACCATGCTTATGGCGTTGCTTGGTGCTCAACCTCAAATTTCTAATTGTGCTGAATCTCTCAACAGACAATCACAGATTTACTACATCCGAGATGCAAAGGCCTCAATGGGCCTTTACACCTCGGATGGAGTAAATCAGTTATCATCAATTTACTCAACTGACCGTGACTGTCATCAATTTCTTTAACGCAGGGCAACGAACTTTTCACTCAAAGCTCGAATGGCATCTGACACACTTCAACAAACTCATTCCCGTGAGCACACGTTTCTCTCCTGGCCTCAATCCTTAAAAGAATGTACATGTGCACCTCCTCGTTCCAGTTTATGAATTTATCACTTTAGTACGTACGATCGATCAAGATCAAGTACGGAAGCCTACCCACAAAAAAACTGACTATCTCGTATATCCTAAAGGGAAACATGTTGCCGAACCACACGTCTAAAACTGTGAGTCGCATCCACAACGTGAATGATGAAGGTAGCATAGGTGCAAGGCAGTCTTTAAATTGTGTGTTTACGTTTCAAGCATGGTGGTACATGGTGGTAGGTTTCTCTTCTGTCCTCAGCCCCGAAGAGAAGGTACATGTGCACCTCCTCGATCCTGTCTATGAAAGGATTTCACTTCAGTGCGTACGATCGATCAAATATCAAGTACGGAAGTCTGCGGAAAGAAATGACCTAAACCCTCGATCTTATACCCTCAAGAAAAATATGTTGCCAAACCACACGTCCCAAAACTCTGAATCACGTCGACAACGTGATTGATGAAGGTAGCATTTGTGGAAGACGATCTTCAATTTTCTGTGGTAAGATTCAGGCCAGGGATGGAATTACTGGAATAGCTACGGCTTCCTGGTCTAAATATGCTCTGAAGGAACTCAGCTTAACACAAACATTCCATATATCAAGAAATTCCTTACCCTCAGCTCATATTCTAACTACGAGAACCAAAATTTCTCCAGCACACGTTCGAACACTTGAGGAGCAAAAGGTCTCGACTCCAACAAAAGCTAATCTTGTGAACTATCCGTCACAGCTTCAATATAGCAAATTAGAAAGTACAATAACTTCTCGTCGAGTAACTCGAATCAAAACGAGACTTCTGGCTCTGACAAAACTTTCTCCGCTTCCACTATAACCACTGTTAAAAAATTGAAGAGAAGAAGAGGCACTTTGTACATCCAAAGGCAACGTTGGCTCCCAAACCTACAGTCATTTGTTCAAAGTGCAGCAAATTATTCTAATTTCCCAAGACCCAGACCCTGTAAAGTGGCTAAACACAGAGTAGCCTGCAAGTCCAGAGGGAATTAATTCCTCGTCCTGCGACTGTAGTGGCCTGGCCACACCACGCCCGCCTCCCCTCGTCGCCCTTTTGTGTCAGAATGAGGACGAAGGTCGCCATGGCCCCAGAGCTGGAAAGAGAGTACGAAGCGAGTGATGGAGCAAAGCGGACGGCAAGGCCCATCGAGGCCTGACGTGGGGTGCGGGGTGGGGGTGAGGGGTACTGGGCCTCATTCAAGATAATGTGTTGGTGAAGTTGTTGCTCGGAACGTGAGGGACTGGGGGACGGACTGACTGATGACGTGGACTAGACGCGGCTCAACGTCCGGTCTGCACTTTTCAAAACGTAGCGGGTGCCGCTGCAAGCGAGCATGGACTTGCTCCATTGACTGACTGACTCGCCGACTTATGTCCTTCCGTCGTCGCTACGTCCTCTTCCTTGAATTTCCTTCAACGCTTCCTCTCGACAACGTGTCTGCTATCTTTGAAAAATGCCTGTCTTGTCCTCCGTTCGTTTTGCAAGAAGCTTGAAACCTGAGCCGGCGCTCTGCCAGGAGTCTGCGGGCGGCAATTCAAACTTGTAGGAGTGATATACATATATATTTATTTATTTATAGCGTTATACACCGGTAAAACATTGGAGCTTATTTCTTATTATATTTTTAGAACATTGTTTGTGAAATAATTCTTTCCTTGCCACTTTTTGTAGAAGGAAATACCCTTCATTTGAGTTATCTGGAGCAAAGTTTTTGGTTTAAGTGATTTTTGAGAAGTTGGAGTTTAGAAATCGCATAATTTATTCTCAAACGCTTGTTGGTGCATAAAGCTTTATAATCTGATGGACTTGAGATTTTTCATCAATTTTGTAAATTTCTAATCAATAAATTGACTTAGACAAATATGATCATAGTAAATTGGGCTGTACATTGCATTCCCCCTTGTAACTCTCCTAGTAAACGTTTGTATATAACCAATGATAAAACCGGCGCATCTATGAAGGATATCACTCCTTGCGTATATCTAGAATATTATTGAGTTAAAGTTTATCAAGGAATGTACAAGGATATTAATTTTATATACTTCAAATAGTGTGTACCAACGTTTCAAACAGTCAGAAATATAAAAGGTAGAAAAAGTTCAATTTTTATGATTGAACTTAGATCCACGAATCCGAGTTGTACATGGTTGGATCATAATCTATTAGAAAAAATTATTTCCAATTCAAAAATTAAATTTAGATGGCAAAAATTTTGATATTATTTCATATAAGTGTCAAGGATGAAACAATACAATTAAAATATAATAAGTTCTCCTCAGTATCAAATAAAGAAATATATTCTATACCAAGTATTATCTTTATATATACTCTTTGAAAAATTGGTATATCAGCATGCTATAAAATTGAATGAATCACGAATTTAATATCTTAAGTCTTGTATCATTTAAAATTACTTTGAATTTCAAAATTTACTTATTTGCCTAAGCAAAAATTCAAAAATATGAAATATTATATCATACACATGTAGAATGATATATTATAGTTTTGCAAGAAACTATAATTGGAACTCAAACCTGTTGAAGTGACCCAACAGGTTTCAATTTACCCGATGGGACCCATTCTACCGTCGCGGTGAACCATGTTCTAATAACCTACTGATTTGTTCTATAGAGTGGGAGCGTGAGCCACTTTTGGGCCAAAGACTATGTCTAAGAAAACGGGCCGTGAGTTCTTGGACATGGCTGCGAACTTTGCAGCCATGAGAACTACCAGCACCATGAGTCTGAAACGTGATTTCATTTTTTTATTGGAAGTAACCCCGGATAATACTGGAAATCACTAACGGTGGGGCTGCAGGCCGTCGATGGGGTCCCATAGGATAAAATGAAATTTTTTGGGTCACATCAAGTGTTTTGAGTTTCTTGGGGTCACATCAAGCAAATTTTTTTTTGCACATATATTTTCAAAAAAAAATTTAGATAGTGTCAAATTTTTCAATTTTTACAAAAAAAAAATCAAATATATTTCTTTACACATGTGATTTGTTGTTCACTTCAGCAAGGCTACCAAAAAAACAGAGGACTGTTTAACTCAAATTCTATTTGTATTTGTTAATTTTTATGTCAACACTCCTAGACATTAACAACTAATATGATCAATGA